AAGGGCGTGTCTACCAAAATGTGGAATTGTGTCCGATCCAACTATGATTGTGTCAAATCTTGCGTTAAATCAAATAATATGTTTTCCGAAATGTTCCAGTGTAATATTGGAGTGCGTCAAGGGTGTGTCTTAAGCCCCTTTCTATTTTCTATTTTTATAGATGAATTGGCTAATGAAATTGAGTCATCTTGTTATCCTGGTATACAGATGCATCCAGAACTAACACAAGTATTTCTCTTGTTGTTCGCTAACGATGTAGCACTCCTCTCCGATACTATCTGTGGCCTACAAAAGCGTATCAATGTTTTGGAAAAGTATTGCATCGAGTATGACCTTTCCGTTAATCTAGATAAATCCAAAATTGTTGTCTTTAGAAATGGAGGTAAGCTCTCTAAATATGAAAAGTGGTATTTGAGTGGCATGAGAATAGATTGTGTCCCAGGGTATAAGTATTTGGGTGTTCTTCTTTCTCAAAGCTCGTCATGGCATAAACATTTTGATAATTCCATTCTACAATCTAAAAAGGCCCTCTATAGTATTATTAGGTCACTATCGAAGCTAAAACCTATTCGCGGTGACATTTTCTTCAGGATTTTTTATTCAAAAGTGTTACAAATCCTACTTTATGGGGCTGAAGTCTGGGGGTTGGATTGTGATATTAGTTCACCAATCGAGAAAGTTCAAACTCTGGCTTGTAAATATCTGCTTTGTGTCAAAATATCAACCCCTAATCACATCGTTCGGGGTGAGTGTGGCAGATACCCTGTCTATGTTTATGCTTACAAACGTTGTATTAAATATTGGTATAAATTGTTGAATATGCCAGTATCTCGTCTGCCCAGAAAGTGCTATAACTTATTATTGTTAGATGCTAGCCATGGCCAAACAAATTGGGTATCAAAGCTTAAGTTATTACTTTACAATATGGGATTTGGATATATATGGGAAAGACAGTATATTAGTAGCTTAAATTCCTTCCTGTCTGAATTTATGATCAGGGCATAGCATATATCCCATCAAGAATGGCATAACTCGTTATCATCAAGTTCTAAAACTTATTCATATTCTCTTTTCAAGTGTAATCTATCTATGGAACCATATCTAAGTGTTATTAACGTAAGTAAAATTTCGAATTGCACTCGCACAGTTTCGCTGTGGTTCCCATCAATTAAATATTGAGACAGGTAGATACACACATAAGCCCAGACATCACAGGTTATGTAACATGTGCGACAATGGATATATAGAAAACGAGTATCATTTCCCTTTAGTGTGTACTGCATACAGTTCTTTGCGCACTATATATATTCCTGCCAAGTTTTACACATACCCTTCTTTGTCAAATTGCAATATATTAATGACCTCCAACAATACCTTTGTCATCAGAAATATAGCAATGTTTGTTTATTATGCTGTAAAGCACCGCCAATCATATATGGCTGCAAATATTTAATATTTGTATTATGGGCCGATGGCCTACATACACTCTGCGAATAAAGAATTGATAGCTTGATATTGTAGGAAGAGATCTATGAAATCAGAGATGGTATCAGAAGTCTGCAGAGATAGCTTGCCTAACGCTATAGTCTGTTTGCGGTGAAAACGTACCGATGAATTTCACTTTAAACAAAAAAGTAAATCAAATAAAGTGAAATTAAGATTGCAAATTCTCTTAATTTTACCTTGCCATTTGAAAATTTAAATCTCAGAATTTTATTCAACTTAGGATAAAACGATCATAGTTTCAAATCGGTATTATTGGTTTGTATTACAAGGGGATATGCACATTAAATGAAACACCGAGAACAAGGAGGGTTGGTCTAAGTTAACGCTCATCACGTACCGAATGTGCATTTGTTTCACTGTTCCAACTACTGCGCTTACCCCCTTGTAATACAAACCAATATAAGCGATTTGAAACTATGATCGTTTGTTAAACAACTTTTTTCCTAAGTTGAAGATAAATCTAAGATTTAAATTTTCAATTGGCAAGGTAGAATTATGGGGATTCGCAATCTTTATTTCACTTTATTCCATTTACATTTTTTGTTTAAAGTGAAATTCACTGGTACGTTTTCAATGCAAACAGACAATAGCTCCCGTTACACACAGTTTTCAATAAATATGAGAGTGGATAAGATGTGAAAACTCCATGTAAAGTTCACTGTATGGGACAGGGTTATGTGTGTGCGTGTGTGCGTGTGTGCGTGTGTGATCAATGAAGGACAATGAAGGCATCTTCAAATAATGACTTATCAACAAGTTAACATCACAATCTGCACAAAATCTCATTTTCAAACTGGTATCTCTGTCATAGTCAGCGATAAATTTGAAAACAGATAGAAAAGCAGCCCTGTGGAATCGTGTACATGTACTCATGTCATACATTCAACCCCATTGTAACCCTTCATCTTATAAAATTATAATGCTTTCAAGTCCACCATAGTTTTATCGACACAGTTCGTACATATCCTTCCATCTTCTTTCTGATCAAACTTCAGTTCTAGTAAGTATATGGACAAGTTCATGTTTTATGATATTCCTCCCAAATACACAATCATTTTTAAGTTGGGAGGCCAAGTTGTATAAGCAACACAATTAACATAACACCCACTCAGCAATATTCCAGCTATATGGCAGCGGTCTGTAAATAATCAAGTCTGGGGAAAGACAATCCAGTGATCAACAGCATGAGCATCGATCTAAGCAATACGATGGATATGATGATATGTGTCAACCAGACAATCCAGTGATCAACAGCACGCGCATCGAGTGTGACCACCCAATCCAGTTAGTTGCCTCTTACGACAAGCATTGGTTACTGAAGATCAATTCTAGGATCTTTACCGGACCTTTCTTACATGAATCAAGACAAACACCAACCTTCATGTCACATGTTTATCATACAATAATACAATACAATTGACAAACATCCACTGTGTACAAGTATATCAAATGTACAACATCACATATCAGTTTCACATCTATCCACATACACAATGACACGAGCACAAACCTTCAATCAATCTATATATTACACAGCCTCTGACCAACATTCATTGAAAGTATGTTTGAAACATAAAATAATAAGAATAAAAATAATAGCAACAAAAGAAGTCTCTGCTTAAAGCAGAATTGATTGTAGAAATCTGGCCCCGATTTCTCAAAACAAACTTGAGTTTTGAGTTAAGTTAGAGTTTTAACTCAAATTTGACAATACGCAGGAAAATGCATTTCCCTGAATAAACTGAAATCAATATTACACTCAAACATAGTTGACAATTTGAGTTTGGTGGGTAGATTACTAAAGGTTTTTCTTGCTTTTTTATCTTAAAAATGCAGTTGAGTTAAATATTTAACTGGTTTAAATTTTCAAACTCAGTTTGAAATTTGTGTAAAAACTTAAGTTTGTTTCGAGTAATCAGGCCCTGACTGTATTAATGAGAATGTGTTTATAAATCATTATCAAATAGTGATGATGCCACATGTTCGTGGAGAGGTGGACGCATCCTCCCCTAAACGGTGGCATATTTCACAAACACATGAGGAATGTATGGAAAAGCCATAAACAGAGAAATGCCTCAGACAGTATTTCTGTTACTGAATGTTGTTTCACATTTTTCTCTCGTTTTATAATCGTCAATAAAAGTTTTGTACTTTTTTATCACATACATAACTGGTCAATAATGAACACCTTTTCATTTCATTATTTCTTGTCTTCCAATGACACTACAGAGGTTCCAATGCAGTGTGCGAAATAGTTTCCAAAATTTGCTGGCCAGTCAGGTTAGCTACACCTGAAAGTTACTAGCCCACAAAATAATTCACTAGCCCAAAATTTAAATGTAGAAACTAAGCTAAAGATTACCAAATCAGATCAGAATAAGATATTGTCAGCATGATACGGGTTTCATCATTAAGCTGTTAATATGATGAATATTTTTATCAGGCCATAATGTTGCAAGATTTAAAAGGGTATCATAACTTAACAAGTCGGAGTGATATATTTACAAAATGACCCCATGAAAATTCACTAACCAGTCAGGCCAGTTACTGGGGAGATTTACTGCCTCCGACCAGAATTTCACTAGCCACTGGCTATTTTGCACACTGTTCCAATGTACATCGACTTCCAGTCTTCTGGTCCAATGTCCACCTTGATCATGGCTTTGGGTCAACAGTCTTTCTTTCACAAATATAACAAACATAACAAAAAAAATCCAATTTTATGTCATGATGAATAACATTCAACAATGAAACTGGCTACCTCAACTTCATGGTTGCTACAAGTTGGGTTTAATGCCAGTCCACAGTAATGTCTGCCGAATGGTGATACACGTCACCTTGCAGTCACTGCAGAATCTGTTTTAGAACTGTTGCCTTGATCTTCAAATACCACAATACATTATATGTATAGGGCTCAACTTTGTGAGATAAAACTGCATTAAAAAAACAAGTCATTTTGTGGGCTGGTTTCAATGGCTTTTTAACACACAGATTAATGTCTGCTAAATGACAGCTTCTCTTAGTCTCTGTTTTAAGAATATAAAATACTATCACACTTGGGCATCAACTGAAGGATTATTCATGATTAGATATTTCTATCTTGTATTGAAAGATGCTTACTTCGTAAGGCTTTCCAAGGAACCTACTGTCAGTCTCCTGACAGATCTTTGTGACACACATTGCAAAACATGGAACAAAGTACGTTATCGTAGCCAGGCAACCTGCTTACCTCCCCAGTCACCTATACACAACCCCGAATCTTGATTGTACTGATATCTCTCACCTATCCAAACTGCCTCCTGACAGATCTTTGTGACACACATTGCAAAACATGGAACAAAGTACGTTATCGTAGCCAGGCAACCTGCTTGCCTCCCCAATCACCTATACACAACCCCGAATCTTGATTGTACTGATATCTCTCACCTATCCAAACTGCCTCAATATATCAACAAGGGACTGATAAAAGGATTTAGGAGCAGAAGAGTTTTTTCTGTTGATTTAAAACATACATTTGATTCAATACAATCAATTTCATTTCTATCAGCATGTGGTGACTAGATATCTGACAGGGATGGAAATGGTCAATGGAAATTATAGCCAGCACTGAACATGATTCAACATCCATCCACTAAATGACACAAATACGTAAATACATGAAACAAAGTGAATCATTCTGATTGATAAGTTGATATATTGTTCCACAGAAAATCACCAAATCTTGTTTCTTGGTTTGTCAGGACCATACCGATGCTTTGGGGTTTCACTAAAATCATAAATATCTGTTGCCTGCATCATTCAGGCTTTTCTGACACAGTTAGCTGACACACTGGGTTATAAGTGTTGAAAGTTGCACTAAAACTCACTCGCTCAAAACCCACCCCCCATACCCATCCACTCACTCACCCATCCACCCACTCACTCACCTCTTATTGAATGGTGCCAGCTGGCATGAAAGCCAGTTTGTCAAGGTCAAAGATATTTAGCACTCACCCTGCTGAGAGTGAACACACTGCTTTAGTGCAGATAGACCAATGAAAGGCCATTAAGTCACACCAACGAACAGCAGATCTTGGCCCAGCTAAGGTAAGCCATTCTGCGCAGAGATTCAGGCGTTCCATTGTGCCATATCTTAAGCCATCCCTTCCTAAAGATTACGTAGCGTAGACTGTGCATTTCATTATTTATAAGTAATAAGAAAATTACTGAACCATCATCTTTAACTAATGATATGTTTATCACATGTGGTAAGAGTTCCTTTTATTACCCCACCTTCAGTAAAGTCACACAACATCAGATGAGGGCAGCATAAGGAAATCTTCCCATTATGCCATGAGGAATCCTATAGGAGAGAGTTCATCCCTGTATTGCAATTCAAAGGCTGATGTTCACAATGTATATACTAAGGACAACACTGTCATCGTTCATCCCTGTTTGATGGCTGGGCTCAGATCAGCGAAGTAGCTGTGGAGAAGGCCTTCCTCGGCAGATATCCGGCCAGCCGGGTTGCACACGAGAAGACACTGTGGACAAACGTCAAAATGGTTAACCCGGCAATCTAAAATATATGCATTTATTGAGACTACTAACATCAAATCATCGGTAGTTTTACCCACCAACAGATCCCAGATGCTTCTAAAGATGGGTCCATATCTTATTATTTCAAATGAAAAGGGGCGACTGAGTTTAACACACCCAATCAGAGGCCTCGTATGACTGAGTACTCACAACGTGAACTGAAAGAATGACTTACACTGGTCCCTATAGTTTCAAAGTAAAATGACGCATGTAACAAATGAATGTCATCATATTTTATAAATCATAAATATATTAAATAAGTTATGGAACTATTAAGAAAAGTAGTATTTGTGGGTAGGATTAGAATATAAAGACACTGGTACGTTATACAGTGGAAGCCCTCTAAACAGGCAGCCCTCCAAACCAGCATGCCCTCAATATCGGCACTAGAATTTGGTCCCGGTAGAAGCTATTTAATTTATGATCATTTACAAGCCCTCTAATCTGGTGTCAGTCTATTCCGTATTTCGGCACAGCAGAGACCGCCCAATTGACTGTTTGTACAGTAATTAATGCTCTCTTAACCGGTATCTCGGCTCTCCTGTTGATTGGCTGATTGGCTGAACGTGTATCAACAACACAGTGGATTACTATGGATAAGGATTAGACCTAAGTAGGGCAGGTAAACTGGTGAGTGACACGTGTCACTTGTATTATAAATCATTTGTCGTGTGAATGAAAACAGTAAATTTGGCCAAAATAACACACCGACGCATTATTGGTTTTTGACTACCCGCAGTAAACACATGCCGATTTCTGGCCCTATTTTGAAAGAGAAAGCTATTCAGTTTGCTCCAGAATTAAATGTCATCTAATTTAAGACATCAGATGGTTGGCTGGCATGTTGGAAGACTCGATACGACATCAAGCTGGTCAAAGTGAGCGGCGAAAGTGCCAGTGTTGATCAGAGTGATTTTGACAAGTTTAACTCCCGCCTCCCGACTTTGATTGATGGATATATGTCTGAAGATATCATTAACTGTGATGAGACTGGTTTGTTTTTCCGTGCTTTACCGGATGTCATCTTTATTGATGAATAAAGAATATGATGACTATCAAAACGTTGTTCAGTCGTATTTTACGGCACACGGAAGATCATTCTCAGGTTGAAAAGGGCAAAAAGTTCTCTAAACCGGCACACCCTCTAAACTGGCACATCCTCTATACCGGCACACCCGCTATACTGGCACACCCTCTATACCAGCACACCCTCTAAACCGGCATGTCCTCTATACCGACACACCCTCTATACCAGCACACCCTCTATACCGGCACACCCTCTAAACCGGCACACCCTCTATACCGGCATTTTGTGCCGGTCCCAAGGAATGTTGGTTTAGAGGGCTTCCACCACTGTACATTGTTCACTGGTCACGAGGGAGACATGGGTTGAGAATCACCCAATCATGTTTCTTGGTTTGTCAGGTCCATACCGATGCTTTTGGGTTTCACTAAAATTATAAATATCTGTTGCCCGGCATCATTTCAGGCTTTTCTGACACAGTTAGCTGACACACTGGGTTATAACTGTTGAAAGTTGCACTAAAAGCTCACATCTCGACGTCTGCTTTCCTAGGTGTCAATACTTACTGCAATGGGTGAGGTGAGGTGAAATTGGGTTGTGCTTGAGAATATTTAGCTCATATGACGACGTGCATGCGTGTGTATGTGTATGTGCGGCTGCTTGTACTAGCCCAGACTTAAGCTGGTGTGATAGTGTTAGCCCACTGAGATACTACTGCAATGGGCTGTCGTACATAGTGATATATTGTAACCGACAATCCAATCAATGAAATAAGGTGACGTCACGTTTTGTGCACACTCGAACGGGTGATGATTGCAAATGGCTTCAGTAAACAACGTTTCATTCACAAGTGGAATAGTAATCATTTTCATTTTGCTGAATCAATGAATAAAATAATCAGGGAGCATACAAAATGAAGTCTTATGTTTAAAATATGACTTTCAGTGCACTTCCCTTATATCCACGAATCAAGGTTATGCGAGTGGATATGCAACTGTATATCATTATTCTCCTTTAAAAAAAGAATTTATTATCCACGTGGTCAACAAATGGGTAGTTGCATAATAAGCTCGTATGTCACACGAGTGTCGTATCGCGTTGACCTGTGTCGTGATGACTTGACCTGAGATTCTAACGATTTGATTCATAACTTGTTTATTCATAACAAACACGTGAATTCATTCATTCTACAACTTATATGCATTGTGGGAATGTAAACATTGCGAACGTTGCCGTATCGCTGTTTAATTGTGAGTCGAACTGAGACATTATATCCGTAGAAAAACATAAATGTAATGTTTCCACCAGTGATGTTAGCCGATTGAAGCAACTGCAAACCAAGAAACGGGGGTGCTACGGAGTAGTTTACTGTAGGAGGCTGTATGAGGAGATGACAACTGACATGTTTCGTGACGTCGGTTACCAAGGGAGCAGACGAGAATGCCGTAGTGACGTCAATACAGTGTTACATCATGCAAAAGTGTACTACAGAACAAAAATTTTCTGCAACCTCTTTATAAAACCGGTTTCGGTTTGAAACCATAACGATAACAAAAAACGCTATTTTGTCAATTTAATGCAGGTAAGATGTGGGTAATAAATAAAATACCACACTCGGTCTCATTACATACAAATTATTCGAAACTTTTGATCTTCCTATGGTTTCTGACCTCGATTTCGCTTGGTCAGATACCATAGGAAGGACACTCGTTTCATATAATTCATATGTAATGAGACCAAGTGTGGTATTCTCTATATATACAAAGTCAAATTTCAAATTAAGGACATGTAGACACATTTAAGGAGGCTTAATAGTGGTTGTCAGAAGTCTGAAACTTGTTCTACATTCACAAAATAAGTGGATAATTTTAGTCGTCTTGGACACAGAGAATATGTAAGGCTGACTGAGGGGAGTTGCTAACTTACCTGTAGAAGGTCTCGGCCCTTAGCATTGAGCTTGGGGACGACCTGTTGCCATGTGGTGGAGACATGGTACATCGGGAAGGGCTGCAAGAATGAGGTTTAGTTTAGTCTTGGTAGAACTATACACTACTCCATTCCTTACACAGGCAATAATACTGCCCTCTGCTATTTCCTGCGTGGCATGTGTCACTGTCCAGAAATAATGTCACTTATGTAGAAGAATTGTTCTTCAAACCCAGGTTATTCATTTTCAGTTTGACGAGCAATGAGGTCCTTTACAATTCTACAGAGTTAAATGTAAAGTTATTGTATCTCGAATCTGAGTGGTGTCTGCTACTACAGTCCGTTTGATTCCATTTGAGACCGATGAATTGCCCACAAACACAAAATCTAACAATTGCATCAAAACCAAATTTTGCACAGTCACTTGAAATCGACAGACCAACTCGAATAAAAAAGTTGTTTAACAAACATTCATTATTTTGTTGTCACTTTTCACTATTGTTTACGAGGGGGGACCACTTGCTGGTAGAACAGCCAGGTAATCAACAAGCGAGTTCGGTGAAATTTCAATTTCACACCTGCAACTCACACACCTGGCTGTCCTACCAGCAAGTGGTCCCTCTCGTAAAAAATGATTTCCACCTGCATGTTCTCAAATGTGATGCTCAGGTTAAAGGTGATTCTGACATAATGCTGTCCTGAGATGTTTGTGTATATAGCAATAAAAGCAACATACAGTCAAATCCCGATGAGTCGAATCGCTGGGGACCAAGTAATAAATTCGACTTATCAATGTATTCGAGACATAGGTATGTCTATGAGGGTAGAAAAAAAGATGATCCAGTCCTAATTCCTCCTCCTAAGCATTTGTTTATCTAATGATTTCCCTATCACTAATAGGGGCACCTTATCAGTTCCAGTCTGATTAGCACAGACAGTGATTTCCGTAAAATCACTAATCTGCCTTTTGAACTCACCCGTCAATGGCGGAAAGGTGTGAGCCGAGCTGGTTTGCTAATTGGATCAGTTTGCTACACCAATCAACTTCTCATTGACTCACTTCGGCTTATGTATACAAGATTGCTGTTGTTTGAATCTCATGGGACCAAATTTTCTTCTAGAGTCATCGTGTGTATTTATGAGACAAATTCATGTAACCGGTATTCAAATGATGACAACTATAACAGGGAATGGTCGGGACCGACAGGTACTTCGAGTTATGCATAATATTCGAGACACCGGCATTCGACTCATCGGGATTTGACTGTATTTCAACTATAGTTTTATGTTCACAATCCAAGCTGCTCATCTCTGATTAACAGTCCAGCAGTAGACAACAGAGTCTGAACTATTGGATCTTTTAGTTTCAACATCAGATTAAAAATATGTCAGTGCATATCTGGAATCATCCTTGGAACTGTTCAGCAGATGTGCCATGTCATTGTTTACTTGCTAAATGTGTGGCGTATCATCTCCCTATAATCTCCCTATCACCTTCCTATCATCTCCCTACCCTGTAGTTAGGGAGCTGGGTCATCTGTGGCCACGTTTCTTCTGTTGGGGTTCCCAGTAATCTAGGTCAAGGTCAAGGATTGCATATTCCACAACAGGTCAGATACAGCAGACTACAATGCACTAGGGACCTACCTGAGACATTTTCAGTTTACAAACAGAACAAGCAAGGCAAATGTTTCTTACAAAAACTATTAATTAATAATGTTAACACACCTAAATAAGTACACACTCCACAGAGTAAGATAGTAAAATTAATATTTCACTCAGAATGAGGTGCAGTCAGCTTCCAAATTGGAATAAGAGGTATCAAATCCACAGTTAGACTTCCCTAAGTTTCAGTAGATTTATCTCCTAATTGTAACAGGACACTTGCTCTTGCAAAACATCCTTCCACCTCAAGGATACTTGAAGATCCTCTTCAGTTGATCTTCGTCATCATTTCCTGGAAACAGTGGCCGACCTGCATTAGCCAACTCTGAAAACAAGTGATATTGATTGTATGAATAAGTCAGTGATGTGTGTGATGTGATTTGCATATATTGAAAATTTTAGCAGAAATGTTGGAAGGGGAACAGTCCACCAAAATTGGGCTTCACAATGCAGCTATACAAGAATCTTTTGAAATATCCTCACAACCCTGAACGCGAACAGTAGAAGATGATATCTGTCATAGAAAGGAGTGAAGCTGGGAACGTGAGGAGAAAATTGTCTGAAATAAAGTCTTTACAAAAAATATTAAAATACTGAAATAAAATATAAAACAAACAGAAAACTCAAACTGTCTTTCCGAAAAGCAGCTTATCTTATTTCACAGAACAGTGAAATGTTCATGCATGCTTTACTCATGATAGTGGACTCGATAAGTTGTATGTTTCTCGAGGGTAATATGGTTTAATGAACGCCTTTTTGGTAGCAGTGTCACCCGAGCTGGAGAGTTTGGTGGTTACCATGTCAGAGGGTAATATTTTATCCAGTTGTCACCCTCCTGGGAGGGGTGACACGGAAACTTGTTGAAGTGTCATTGACCATTGAGTGAGTGTGTGAGTTTAGTTTTATGACGCTTTTAGCAAAATCAGGCGGGGGACACCAGAAATTGGCTTCACACATTGTACCTATGTGGGGAATCGAACCCAGGTCTTCGGTGTGACGAGCGAACGGCTTAACCACTAAGTTACACCACCGCCTCATTGACCATTGAAATTAAACTATTTTACATGAAGGTAAGATAATTTTCTGGATCACACTGCCAGACAAACAGTACACACTTTGGGATGCACATTTCAATTACAAAATACAGCAAGTGGTCGGATGAAACAATCCTTTCATTAATAAGCCTTTTCGTTATCAACATGGTTTACAGGAATTGGAAAGTATGACCATTCTCTACACAACAAATCAATAATGACCAATAATACATCGACTCAATGGGTCAAAATTTCTGCCAGTGGTCATCAACTTCACATAAGTGACCATCATCTACCAAATCAACTGACCTGCAAAAATACATCCCGCAGACCACATGTCGATTGATGTTGAATACATCTTGGCTCCCGAACAGTACGTCAGGTGGACGGTACCACAAGGTAACAACCTGGAGTTGAACAAGGAGAGAATCATTTTGATGATGATAGGATATTTATATAGCGCACATATCCACACAACTAGTACATGCTCAAGGCGCTTCAAAGACATCAACAGATGTCTTTTTTCTGGCATTCTTTTAACCAACTCAACTCCCTGGGGAGTATTCTACTCATGCAGCCTGTTAGGTGCAGCGAGTTATCACATAGCCTCATCCTCACAAGGTACCCATTTGCAGCTGGGTGAACTGGGACACATAGTCACAGTATTTTGTCCAATGATACTGCCCGTTACTATACTTGCAAATAGATGTCCACCATCTGGTCACCTAGCATCGGATGATTGGGTTCTCTTAAGTGCACAGGGTTGTGTACTGCAGGGGTTGTGACAACACTTAAAGAGCCTGCAAGTAATGTTAGCTCCAAGGTTTTTACACTCGGTCACAACTGGGGATCGATCCAGGCACCTTTCGCTTACAAGCAAGGCGCCTAAGACAGCTCGCCCACCATGCCCCGAACATGTTAGTTAGTGGATAGGCCAGAACAGTGTGGGAGGACACCTAATGTAATGAGAGCTGAGATCAATGAGTGTTTGTTTGTTGTCTAACACCGCACACAGCCATATTCCAGCTATGCAGCAGCAGTTTGTAAATAATAGAGTCTGGACCAGACAATCAGGTGATCAACATCATGAACATCGATCTACACAATTGGTATACAATGGCATGTGTCAACTAAGTCAGTGAGCCTGACCATCCGATCCTGTTGTCGCCTCTTACGGGTTGCTAGAGACCACGGGTGCGATTGAGATATAACATGCATCAACCAAGTGAGTGAGTGAGTGAGTGAGTTTAGTTTTACGCCGCACTCAGCAATATTCCAGCTATATGGCGGTGGTCTGTAAATAATCAAGTCTGGACCAGACAATCCAGTGATCAACAACATGAGCATCGATCAGCGCAATTGGGAACTGATGACATGTGTGAACCAAGTCAGCAAGCCTGACCACCTGATACCATTAGTCGCGTCTTACGACATGCATGGGTTACTGAAGGCCAATATTCTAACCCAAACCTTCACGGGTTTGCATCAACTAAGACAGCAAGTCCGACAATAAATTTCACTGATCATTTATTATAACAAGCATGGGTTCTTGAAGACCAACTCTTACTCTGATATCTCTTGATCTTAGACATGCAATATATACTAGCAAACAAGGGTAAGTTGGACTGGCGCAGAGAACACGTTAACGAGAAGTAGGCGGTGCATGGCAATGAGCAAACCCATTTGGTTTGTGAAAGGTAGAGAAGATGTAGGCTAGTGCACATGCATTACATGACGATGATATTGATCCCGCGCGCAGCTGCACACGCCTTGCTCATAAGACTCTCACGTCGGTGTAGCAAGTCGCACTACACTTGATCGCGGACAACCTGGGGCCCCTTCGCTAACAATGGCAAGCGCCAGAGGGTGGCACTCATACATAATTATACGGCTCATTTGTCAGGTTGGTGCACAACTAATCCTTGTTTGCCAGTAGTGAAGAAGCAGCTACTGGATGCTAAAGACTTGTCCTACCTCTGCTGAGTAGAATCGAACTGGAATTCCAAAGGCTCTTGCCAAACCAAAATCTGCCAACTTCAGCTCACCATTCTGAAGAGTAAAAGAAAAGGTTAAATCCCACCAGACAATGTGGCACTGAAAGAAAACCTATATTTATATTTTGATAAAAAACTCAAAATAAATTTAAGATTCATTTGTTGTCAGTTTGTTCATCAATAAATAACTATGCACAGACCCAAGTCGTTTTATAAATATGTATTAAATATTACCATCTGTGGTGAAACTTTCATGATAACAAGGTACCATGGTAATTATGAGTGAAAGAGGTGGTTGTCATCTGACAAGGTGGTGATAGAAAATGAACATCCTTCACCTTGTTGATGAGCAGGTTCTGAGGTTTGAGATCTCGATGGAGGACGTTGTTGCTGTGACAGAAGGCCAGGCCTCGGAGCAGCTGGTACATGAACGACTGAAAACAGACAAACTAGACGTAGGAAATTGAAATACTTCTAGCAATATGTTATATTGCAGCACAGCACAGCTGTTGAAACCACTTTTCACCCCAGCTGAGGTGAATTTAGTGAATCGTTTGAACTCTGATTTCACAGGGGTTTTCATCGCATTATTTTTCAAATTTATAAGTTGAATTTGCATTTTTGATCATTAGTTACTGTAAGTCCATACCGAAATGTATCAGAATCTGCAAAGTTGTGTTTTACGTTGCATGTGACCTTTAAAGATTCAAATGCTATTGCAGCTGATATGGCGCTGTACAAATCTCCAGTTCTGCAAAACAATGTTGTGAGACCTCAAACACATCCATGTTGACAATACATGGTACAACTGGCTATGCTACACATGAAAGCTATAAAACAGGTGCATATGAAGGACACATTACATTAAAGCTACCATCCACTACTGATATCTGCCCAGAGAAACCAAGAGATGTATTGCAGAATGATGGATTTTATGAAACTGACATAATACTAGGGCTGGGACGATACACTATGTCATGATATGATACGTATCACGATACATACACCTTGAAAGAATGACACATTATTAAGATTTAAAATGATTTATTTCAAGGTATTTGTGTATAACCATGATAACAATAACACTAATAGTGTTGGGAATTGGTTAAAATCTCACAATTGATGATTGGTTCATTACAACCAATCAGTCATTGAAAATAATTGGTTAGCGTCATTTATCAAATTCTCCTGGTTATGTTTGTTAATGCATAAAAATACATAGAAAAAAGATGACTAGTATGTTAGGAACATAAATTTCCTGGCATCTTTAAGATTAATTCAATCATGACAAGGAACGAGTTTGTAGTGCTTATGAAAAGTAACAGACAAAACCAGCCTTGTGAAAAATGTTGCTAATGCAAACAAGTGTTCCCAATTTGTTTGTGTTTGATCATGAGAAATTATGATCGATTGCTTGGTCGTTTAGTCACTGCGACCAATCTTCTATTATTTCAATTAATCGGACCACCACTAAATATTATTGTAATAAACAAAAAAGTAACTCATATTTGCGTATTTTTCTCTAAATAAGTACTTAGATAGTTTAAGATAATACTGTTTTGAAAAAAAGTTGGGTATTGTTTTGCATCGATGCGCCAATCAACAATACGATAGCTGTATCAACCCTAAATGTATCGTAATATATCGGTGGATTGGTGAATTGTCCCTGCCCTACATAATACATGTACATGGAAACCAGCATCCCTTTTCGGTAACTATCAGGATATCTTGTTACATCTCAGCTACTTCAAGACTATAGGGGATGGTTTGATAGCCTAGTGGTTAAAGCTTTCGCTCATCACACTGAAAACCTGGGTTTGATTCCCAACATAGGTACAATGTGTGGAGCTCATGTCTGGTGTCCCAAGTCATGATATTGCCGGAATATTGCTAAAAGCGACGTAAAATTAAACTCACTCACTCAAGACTGTAGTGTCTGGTTGTATCCTGTCAGTGTATTCAAATCAGTGATTTACCTTATCAAGAGCACTATATCTGCAGCAAATGTTCATTAAGATCATTCAGGTTATAACTATGGCTTTGGACAGGAGACTTTATTTTACTGATGGCAGGATCAATATAATCTTTTAACATTGCTGCACTGAGTACAAAATTCTCCAGTTGAGGACAATTTTAAATCCTAATATAAACCCAAACTAAATCGCACCTTAACTGTGTCCGGATCGATCTCCCCATTACAGCTGTCGAAGTATTTCTTCAAGTCTTGGTCACAGTACTCAAATACCAACGTCAGCTTCTTCTCACTGTGTAGGACATCATGTAATCTGCAAAACACAGGTGACACCATACTGCTCATTGCTTTGTGAAAAAATCAGTTTAGCGAATAGAAGATCCAGTGAAGATTTGGTCTTGAGCAACCCATGCTTCTTGTAAGAAGCAACAAATCAGGCTTGTTGACTCGGTTGATGCAACTCATAATATCCCAATTGTGTAGGTCTATACCCTTGATGTCAGTCACTGTGTTGTTTGGTCTTGTCTCAGATGACTGACTGACTGAGTTTGGTTTTACGCCGCTTTTAGCAATATTCCAGCAACATCACGGCGGGGGACACCAGAAATGGGCTTCACACATTGTACCCATGTGGGGATTCGAACCCGGGTCTTCGGCGTGACGAGCCAACGCTTTAACCATTAGGCTACCCAACCGCCCTTTTTTTTCAGATGTTTACAGGCCACAGTTGTCTCCCTTGATCATATTGCTGGGTGTAGCATTAAACATCAAACATAGCAACTCTTAAGGAGTCAATTAATACAGAGATATTGTCAAAAATTATTCGTAATGTAAAGCCATGATGTTTTGTCTGTGACCAGGGTTTTACTTGAAGCAGAAATGTGCTTCCAGTATGCACAAACATACAGAACAGGCGCAGAAAAATAAATGTATTGTGTTACCAGAAGAAAATATAAATGGCACCCATAGGGATGCACAAAATGTTCACTGTACCAAATTCTTGACAAGAAATTTAAAATGTCTTTTAGCGGCATTTAGAAGTTGTTATAGATGACCAAGATATTTTATGGATTTAAGCTTTATTCTTTCCCACACAACGTCAGGTGATGAAGGGATCTGTAATGATCCCGAAATGTTGTGTGGGAAAGAAGAAAGAAGCTTAAATCCATAAAATGTCTTGGTCAAGAAATTTAAGGTCCTTACATTTCAGTACATAACACAATTCACTTTACAGGAAGCTCATATTTCCTGTAAAAAACTGTGAAATAGGTAACTGGGGGTACTCAGGACTTCTAGGTTAGGTGAGGTGAAATTGGGTTTAACATCGTACTTGAGAATATTTAACTCATATGACAATGCATGCGTGTGCATGCGTGTGTATGCGTGTGTATGTGCGGCTGCTTGTACTACCCCAGACATAAGCTGGTTTTAGAGTGCTAGCTCACTGAGATACCATGCCGCAGTTAAGCATGAATACCCCACTCAGACACATTATATTGACTCCGAGCTGACCAGTCTTTGTTGTAACCATTAATGCCGAGAGCTAGGCAGAGACCAACAAGTACCATATTTTAACATCTTTGGTATGACGTGGCCGGGGATCGAGCCTGCAACCTTCCGCTCTCTTCGTGTGGACACTCTAACCACTACACCACAGAGGCGGTTCAGGGCCCCTAGTGTTGCGTGTCACGGTGAAAGCCTGTATGCCATTTTCATCTCACAGATCCTCCCCAATTAACTTTCAGCATGACCATATGACATTGGTGACCACTTCTTTTCTGCCATCTTCTCATGAAATTTCAAGTTTGTTTACTGTCAATCCACAATTTTTCCAACACAGTGAGGCCAGAACCTTGAAGAGTAGAATTCATAACTGTATTAATTCACATTCACTTACTAATGTCTACCCACCTGACAATATTCTTGTGCTTCAGCTCTTTTAACAGGCAGATTTCCCGCAATGCTGAACTGGGAACACCCTGTGCAAAATACACACAACATTTTCTAGAGCTCTTATATTGATTATGAAACAAGTGTATTTATTTTATGTCATACATGAACAAATAATGACAATAATAAATGTTGTTAAATTATGCATATTTTTAGATGGATAACCTCTTTCCTACACACAATTTGTCATCTGGTATTACTTATTTTGGAATTGAACCAATGTTATAAGAGATTTAATAGTGTTGTCACTTGACTGATGTATGTGAGTGATATCAATGAACTGATCTGAGACTAACCTCGTCATCATCATCAAGACGAACTCTCTTCAAGGCAACTATTTCATGGGTTTCTCTGTTCTTTGCTTTGAAAACTGTTCCATATGTTCCTGAATAAGAGAAAAACAGTTGCATGAATTTTACACACAGATTCTGTAACCTTCGGCTTCATAAGTATCAATCACCATTGTTGTACTTTACATTCAATTCTGTAGCTGTCAATGCATGACTGAGTAAATTTGCTTTGGATTTAACAGTGCCGCTCAACTAAATTGGCCATCTTGTCAGGGAACAATCTGAAGGTCCAGTTTCAAGTCAGATGGGTTTTCACAAACTGGCTGCTTGTTTCTGTGACATTCGGCCTATGAGTGTTTTGGAGCTAAATTCTAAAAATTGATCAGCACTGCATAAAGAATACATGCATCATTTGTCAAAGATAAAACAATTCTTGGGGGCTTGAGAACTCGTTTTTGCATGATTCCCACAAAACATAACAATAAAGTGTATTATACTTCATATTTTTTTACACTTTTCACTTCTGCTATATTACATTCTACCTGTTCTAGCAGAAGTAATTTCCAAGCCAAAATCTGTGCAGGTTACATGCTACATTAGCAGTGACTGAGTGAGTTAAACCTCAAGGTACTCACAATATATTCATTACACATGAGAATTGAAGGAGTATATGTATATGCTTCTGGGTATGAAAAAAAAACCAACAATTAAAATAGGGTGTAATGTTAGTCATTACTAACAATTAATTTTGGTGAGTTTTATGTGTGCAAAAAACAGATAATATGGATATCATTTCTAACATTGTGCCTTGTAGTCACACCTTTCAGTTCAACAAATATGTCTGAATTAAAACTGATCTAAGACAATGAAGACATCCAACGACTAGACATGACAGAAATGAGGCGTAACATGCAAGTACAGGCAGGCTTTTTGTGTACAACTTTCTGATGAAACACTTCGGAACCGGCCTCTTTATCGGCTATTGTTATGTTGGAAATATTCTGACAGATTACGAAGGCAACCCAGCAATAGATATTTCCCGTGACCGCAGAGGACATTTCAAGGCCCTGTTAATATCTGAAATTATACTTTGAGTTTGACGTCTGGTGTCTATTGTGCTTCGACAAAATTCTGGATCAGCTGATCCACAAAGACTGAAAAACTGCTTAATTTTCGGTTCACAGGAAGCGATCTGAACAAATATAATGACGTACCTTCTCCAATTTTCTCGAGTTTCTCATATTTTTGCATTGTTTTGACAGCGACTTCTCACTTTCGTGAGATCTCCGGAACCAACAAACCGGAACAAGCTCTTTACAAAATAGGAATTAGTGATAAAATGGAGCCGGGTGCAGTTTTCCCAAAGTTTTCATATCAGTAAACTAGATACATATTCCATTAATATTGGTAACAATAATAATGTAATAATTAGTAGAAGGGAATAGTACAATTATGTGTGGCTCGTATGAAATGTTATTATTTTCCGAATCCGAATAATATTTCCATACAGAGTTTTGGTTGGGGGAAGAGTTACTTCCCTTGATGTTTACAAAACATGGCTTCCGAAACAACAAGAAGGCATTGGGGCAGTTTTAATTTTTTTTAAAAAAAGCATCATATTTGATTGAGGATACGGTTACAGATACAGATGGCTTCTATTCATTTAGGTATACATTACAGTCTGCAAAATGAAATGGACCTATTGGTTTTTTAATGACTGACTGTGTTAGGTGTCATATCTCAGACTCCGTCAGTCTCGTATTTACAGTAAAGATGTTTTTATAAGTTATTGACATGTTTTACAATTGTTCATGTTATAATCGAGACAACAACGGGTGTTCTTTAGCTCCTGAAACCCCATAAAACAAGGATAAAGGCTTTTGTATGCAGTGTTTACCCAGAATACATGACACGTTTTGGGGATAACAACTTCTTTATTCTTTACAAGACGTTTCAGAGCTAATTCTTGTTCCTTCATCAGGTGGATGTTGAGTCAGTACAAAGGGTGAATATATATATATAGATTAAAACATGTTTACACAATGCAAGGAAGGAGAATGTACAAAGGTAACAATGTGATTACGAAGCCAATTAGGCTAGAAGCAAATTAGATTGGATTAATGCACAAAGATAGCAATGTATTGTAATGACAAAGCCAAGAGTAGGGGTGGGGTGTGTTGATGTACAATGATAACGATATAATAGGAAGCCAATTAGATGGGATTAATGTACAAAGATAACAATGTAAGGATGAAGCCAAGAGATTAACTGTAATGTAAGACAAAGCCGTCAATTATAGGACAATAGAATATACACTGGGGAGGTAAATGCCTTGGTCTCGGTTAATGGCTGGCTTCTTTCTCTGGATCTTGATGATTTCTTGAAGTTTCCTCTTTTTCCAGTGGTTGATGTTGATGTGTAGAATCTTGGTTTGTTGCGAGGAAATATGGTGGTTTGGATTTTTGATGAGGTGTTCCGAAATGGCAGATTACATGTCAGATTTTTCTACAGAGGTCTTATGTTCTTTTATCCTGGTGGCTATGGGGCGTGATGTCTCTCCGGTGTATTTGTCTCCGCAGTTGCATGCTATTTCGTAAACACATCCTCAAAAACTTCAGTGCTTATCCAGGCTATTAAGTCATTAAGCCATAGAGCCTTTCACTCATCAACACCTGGATCCCCTCCCTCACTGCCTGCTCGCTGTGATGAGACAAATTAGTGCTAATCACACCTGATTTCCCTGGCTGGTTTCGGGGGATGACAGGAAACTATCTAGTCATACAAACAAGTCCTGATTGTTTAATTGTGTCATAAAGATCTATGTGGAAAGAAAGCAGGTGAAATACATGTATTGCAACATTTTATGTCAATTTATTCAAAGTGTCTTTTATAGACCTTTGGCAGTTTGTACATTTTATATTTTATCAACATATGTATATATTCTTTGTATGTACAAGTTGTGACATTCAACAAATCTCTGTCATGTTGTGTAGTTTAATTTTACAAAATATGTATTCACACTATGGATTATATATTATTGACCATGACAGATTGTTAAAAAGAAATTACTCACATGCTTTCTCCGGCCTGAGAAGAAATATACTCTACTCTCCGAAGCTCTACTTACCATTGTACAGTTTAAGTAACTCTCTATCAAATTCTATATAAAGGACTTTATTCCTTTTGTTTTGACAGTACAGCTTCATAAACCCAGAAGCCTGTAGCTTGATAAATGTGTTCATTTAGTCTATTCTTAATCAACTAAGTAAAATAACATTCTTAAAACGACGGTGTATTTAGTCTATTCTTAATCAACTAAGTAAAAAAACATTCTTAAAACGACTGTGTATTTAGTCTATTCTTAATCAACTAAGTAAAATAACATTCTTAACACGACTGTGTATTTAGTCTATTCTTAATCAACTAAGTAAAATAACATTCTTAAAACGACTGTGTATTTAGTCTATTCTTAATCAACTAATTCTTAAAACGACTGTGTATTTAGTCTATTCTTAATCAACTAATTCTTAAAACGACTGTGTATTTAGTCTATTCTTAATCAACTAAGTAAAATAACATTCTTAAAACAACTGTGTATTTAGTCTATTCTTAGTCAATGTCGGATTAGACAGAGTCTACTGTGTATGTTTTCGACTGGTTTCTGGACTGGTCTATTTGTCGTTATTGGGTTGAGGAAGGGTGTTATTATTTGTCAAAGTGCCTACATGAGCAGAACCTACAGACTGTAATATGTTGTTTTAGACTGTAGACAGAATAGCATGTAGGCACATTGTGAGGACACCATGGGGGGTACCTCACTGTGCCCCCTGCCTTTGTTTCAGGGTGTGAAGCAGTCACCCGTGGTTAAAGGTCACATGCAAAGTAAAACACAACTTTGCAGATTCTGATACCTTTCGGTATGGACTTACCAAAACAAGTCATCAAAAATGCAAATTCAACTTATAAAGTTGAAAATAACGCGATGATGATTATGTACTTACACAGACACGCAGGTGTGACAGTTGAACACATGACATGTTATGATGTCTTTTGATTGCAAAATGTTATACACAAAAAATGAGCATGTATTTACAAAACCCAACATCTCTATATATACACACACAATGAGCCGTGAGTGCATCTGCAAATGAACCAGCCATTACACTTGAGTGCACACCCACCCGGTCTGACTGGGTTCGGTATCCCGGCTGCTTCGTTTCTTGGCGATTGTACGCTTATAATTTTGTTTATATGATTTTTCATAACCAGCAATGTATATTATATGTCATGAATAAGTGATAATTGTGTTTTAATTATGTTTGATTTTTTGGTTGCATGTGACCTTTAACTAACTGACAATGGGGGCATTAACAAGGGATTAAGTACAGCCAGTTCTGAAATGTATTGTACCACAGCATATAACATTCACACATGATAAATGAAACATGATATTTGCATTTTCATCACCATTTCACTTATACACCAACAAATTGAACAATGCATGTGTGCCAGAGAATGACAGGGAGTTGGTTTATGTAGGAATTCAGTTGACACATGTCACTCTAACGGAGAACCCACTCTTACTATGAGTTTCAATTATTTAATTACTCACTTATCAACTCACTTATATATTCTACAAAATAATTTGATTTGTTGATTAAACACAGTTCACTGTCACTAATTAGTGCTGGGGCTCAGAGCCAGTTAATATCTTGTCACAACATGCACCCACTAAATCCCTTGTCATAACATATAGCTGGGGGGCACAGTGAGTGAGTGAGTATGGTTTTACGTCGCTTTTTAGCAATATTCCAGCAATATCCCGGCGGGGGACACCAGAAATGAGCTTCACACATTGTACCCATGTGGGGAATCGAACCCGGGTCTTCGGCGTGACGAGTGAACGCTTTAACCACTAGAATACCCCACCGCCCCACACAGTGAGGGGAGGTCAGAATCGGAAGCTGTTATAACAATTGAGACATTTTACAACCCACTGGTTTATATTATATTACTAGTATATATATTATTGTATTGTGACTTATTTTCCTGTGACTTTCTTTCCTACCAATAGCCCAACCTGACCATAGCTTGCGTATCTTATTTACATAGACGTGTAACTTTATTCTCTTCTTATCTCTAAATTCAGGGTAAAGCTTAAAGGATCATGATCATGTTCGATAATATATATCTTACAACTCAACATGTTCACTCCCCATGCTGTAACTGTCAATACCTAGCTCATTAATTGTTTGGTAGTGAAGAAAATCATACATAATATGAATTACATTTCAAGTTCAGTTTTCTTCAAATTTGCAGCAGCTGTAATTCGGCCATTCTTTGGAAATTCTGACAGGTAAGAGATGTTTGATTTTCTTTACACCTCAAATCCATGAAGATCTGGGTTAGAATTGGTCTTCAGTAAACCATGCTTGTTGTAGGAGGCGACTAATGGGATCGGGTGGTCAGGCTCGCTGACTTGGTTGACAGGTCATTCTATCCCATTTATGTAGTACGAAGCACATGCTGTTGATCACTGGATAATCTGGTCCAGACTCAATTATTAGCGTCAAACAACAATCAATTAATCAATCTTTACACCTCATACAATAATGCATATAATTTGAACTAAATATCCAAATAATTATATTTGTAACATTGCAGTTTTTGACTCTTTGCTTTGACTATGAGTTTCAAAGTTGTGTGTACTTTCAGTGTGAAGTGTGTTGTCAGCGAGCATGGTGATACCGTGTATGTCAAAGATGTCTCCCTACTTCTGCAACTACTGGACATTGAGGTTTGTATCATGCTGGATCATTGACAACATTTGTTAATATGTCAGTATTTAGAGGATTTTATGGGTCCTTGTCAAAATGGCCACACGTCAAAATTGCCACAAAACATCAAAGTCAAAATGGCCACCAAAAAGTCAAAATGGCCACAAACCCTTAGTCAAAATGGCCACATCAAAAAGTCAAAATGGCCATAGAAAAAGTCAAAATGGCCATACATTATTTTAATTTTTTTTAATACTCATAACATTTTCCCATGTTGCATTATTTGATATCAAGGTGTGAAAATGACAAAAGAAGTTGTATCAGACAAAACTTGATGTTTATTACACATCAACAAATCATATTTTCAACAAATAACAAAACACATATTAATAAACTCTTTCACGTCTTCACTCACCAGTTCACATTTCCACTCATTCATCTCCTCCCTCACTCATTCCCTCCCTTGTTTTCTACCTCACTCAGTATGACACTATGTCTCCATCTCTCACTCATTCCCTCCCTTGTTTTCTACCTCACTCAGTATGGCGCTCTGTCTCTCTCACTCATTCCCTCCCTTGTTTTCTACCTCACTCAGTATGGCACTCTGTCTCTCTCTCTCACTCATTCCCTCCCTTGTTTTCTACCTCACTCAGTATGGCACTCTGTCTCTCTCTCTCACTCATTCCCTCCCTTGTTTTCTACCTCACTCAGTATGGCACTCTGTCTCTCTCTCTCACTCATTCCCTCCCTTGTTTTCTACCTCACTCAGTATGGCACTCTGTCTCTCTCTCTCACTCATTCCCTCCCTTGTTTTCTACCTCACTCAGTATGGCACTCTGTCTCTTTCTCTCACTCATTCCCTCCCTTGTTTTCTACCTCACTCAGTATGGCACTCTGTCTCTCTCTCTCACTCATTCCCTCCCTTGTTTTCTACCTCACTCAGTATGGCACTGTCTCTCTCTCTCACTCATTCCCTCCCTTGTTTTCTACCTCACTCAGTATGGCACTCTGTCTCTCTCTCTCACTCATTCCCTCCCTTGTTTTCTACCTCACTCAGTATGGCACTCTGTCTCTCTCTCACTCATTCCCTCCCTTGTTTTCTACCTCACTCAGTATGGCACTCTGTCTCTCTCTCTCACTCATTCCCTCCCTTGTTTTCTACCTCACTCAGTATGGCACTCTGTCTCTCTCTCTCACTCATTCCCTCCCTTGTTTTCTACCTCACTCAGTATGGCACTCTGTCTCGCTCTCTCACTCATTCCCTCCCTTGTTTTCTACCTCACTCAGTATGGCACTCTGTCTCTCTCTCTCACTCATTCCCTCCCTTGTTTTCTACCTCACTCAGTATGGCACTCTGTCTCTCTCTCTCTCACTCATTCCCTCCCTTGTTTTCTACCTCACTCAGTATGGAACTCTGTCTCTCTCTCTCACTCATTCCCTGTCTTGTATTATTTCTGGATTATTCATTTCTTTACTGACTCACTCCCTAACTCACTCACTTGATACTTGTGTGTTTCAGCATCCCATTGGTCAGCTGATAGTTGCTGTGTGTCAATGTCACAGTTACCGATATGGATCTGGGGTGAAATCTCTCCTCACCCTACATGGTCTTCTGACAGAAGCGTTTCTATCTCTGTGTGAACAGGTAGTATCAGCACAGAGTTTGTTTGGCCAGTCAGAAATATTGTCCCCTATATGTACAAATATGAATTCGTTATTAGAGAAAATGTCCATTTTCAATAAAATATGTTTTATATGGGCAACATCACACAAAGGACACTACTGGCAAACAAGGATAAGTTGAGCACTGAGCTGACAATTGACCCATATTTGCATGTATGAGTGCCACCCACTGGCGCTTGCCATTGTTAGCGAAGGGGCCCCAGGTTGTCTGCGATCAAGTGTAGCGCGACTTGCTTCACCGACGTGAGAGTCTTATGAGCTAGGCCTGTGCAGCTATGCGCGGAATCAATTTCATTGTAATGCAATGCACGTGCACTAGCCTATATCTGCTCCACCTTTCACAAACCAAATGGGTTTGCTCATTGCTGTGCACCGCCTACTTCTCGTTAACGCATTCTCTGCACCGGTCCAACTTATCCTTGTTAGCCAGTAGTTTTCTCTCAAGCTCCAAGTATCAAATTCATGAAACTGAAATATTATCTTTAAATGATAAGTGGATATATAATATTTTAGTTATGACTTTCACCCTTACCAGAACTCAATCTGAATTGAGTTCAAAACTTTGACATGCACCTTTGATTTATTTTAATTTGAAACAAACAGATACAATGAGAAGTGCACTAATTATGTACAATGTCTCAGTGATGCATTGACACAATCATCAATGTTATATGTTGTTTTCAGGGTATTCCCCCAACGGATGTGATTACCCTAATGAGAGAGGCTTTGGCCAACTCTATGTGCAGATTGTCAGCCCTCCAGATACCACTGACCAACCACCTGCGTGCTACCAGACATAACTCTCCACACTCAGACAGGACTCAGTGTGCTGCACTTCCTGCAAAATCTGATGATTTTAAAGAAGTGCTTATGTCAGACTCTGGAAGGAGAATCTGTAAGGATGGTTGGACATTTATCAAGTCTGGAAGTCTGGATCTCAAGGAAATGGCAGAAACTGAGTTGATTCATCTGAAGATGAAGCAAGTCCGCAAGGATGAGGATGAGGATGAGGATGATATTGGTTGGTTCTTTGATGATCCGGTTCCAAGTCAGGAAAAGAAGAATGAGGAGGCTCAAGTTGGTCTAAGAATTAATGAAGAGTGTTTAGAAGCCAGAGATGAAATCCAGTTGATCAGTAGATTATCTGACGCAGACCAACATGATTCAGACTTTGATGACTGTTTTGAAGATGGACCTTTTTCTCAAGGAAATGCTGAAACTAAACCTACACATGTTGAAAGTTTTGTAAATTTGAATGGCAGGTACTCTGAAGGAATTGATCAAAAAATTGTTTTGGATTGCAGTAAGCTTATATCTTCGAAGAATCACACTGTCACAGAAGTGGTGGAAGATGATTTTGATTCTTGTTTTGAAGATCGCGAATTGGAGAATAATGTATCAATTGAAGCAGCTGTCACAGACTGCACTACTGAGAGGACAGAACCAGACGTCAAATCTTTGAATTCATTGTTGAAAAGAATTAAGTCAACTAAAATTGATAACACAAATGTTTTTCTCAGCAGTCATCATTTCAAACAGCAGGCAGTTTCAGATACAGGGATTAGTGACACTACAAGAGATGTGCATACACAGCCAACACTCAAACTTTCTGTAACAGATGTGCACGAAGCAGCTGATGGTAGTCATGGTGATGACATGATGCCAAGCCCAAGGAATATGGAGAATAACTTTCAGTCGGAGCTAGATAGGTTGAACAAGATGATAGAAAAAGTGAAAAAATGCCAACTGCAGTTTTCTGAGACTCAACTTCAAACAGAGTGTTCCAGTACAGTTACACAACACAGCATAACATCATCTGATAAAACAAAAATGCTAGGTTTGGTCAATCTTAAAAAAATCTCAGAAACGGGTACTGAATTCAAGCCGCTATTTCAAGACAGTAGAATCCACACTGGCAGGTATGACACCAGAGGGTGCTAATACAAAGTTGGACAGGAAGATGCATTACAAGGCTACAAGTTCTGCTTCAGAAGGATATGACTTTGAACTCAGTCTACAAAAGAAATTGTCTCAAAAGAAAAAGGAAGGGTTAAGAAACTCCTTATCTCACAGTCGACATTTTAAGACATTCAACAGTGTCAGCGTAACAGGTGATTTGGGAGGCAGACATTTGCAAGATGAAAACAGGGGGAGGTAATTCAACAGATGAAGAAGAGCAAACTGATGGTGTTGAGAGTAGTGACCGAGTGTGTTCAGTGAATCATTCAGATCGGTTGAGCAGGGGAAATAAAGACGTCAGTTCTGGTGATGTACAATCTGCACAAAGTGTTCATGCTGAACTGTTGATGCCCACCTCAAGACAGTTGGACTCAGGGCAGGTTTTGTCTGCAGGAGCAGATGGTGTTTCTGGGAAGGGATTAGAGTCATTTCAGCAGGCCTCAGGGATGGTCATGTTTAATCCGTCGTTAGGGTCAGAAACATTCACAACTCATCCCTGGGAAACAAGTGATGTTGCATCAGAAAGGATGAAGTTGGATGCTGATCTGTTATTTGGTACTTGCACCTCTGACCACAAATGTCTTGATGAACTATCCAGAATCCCAGACTTCTGTGACAAGACTGGTGGCAGCACTGTGAGATTTGGTGAGAGGACTTTGCCTTCAGGTGAGACACAGTTCCCCACAGACATGTGTTGGTGTGAGGTGGCAGACGGTCTGAGTCACGGCTGCCCAGAGATGATGAAGCTAGTGGTACAAGCTGCAGCATCACAGATGGCGATGACGAGGAAGCATAAGTAAGTATTTTTGAGAGAATATCAAGATAAGACCACAATGTTAACATTTAGTGACCGTTCATAATTTATGGCTAGCGGGGGTGATGATGATTTTCTTGGAGAAGCATGTACAATGTGAATGAACCCCCCCCTAAAATTTATGCACAAAGTAAGTGACACTGCCCTGCATGTCATGTACAAAATCAATGACATGGATCCTGGTGTCTTTGATCTGTATTTTGGGGACTCTAAATCTTCACACACACACACACACGCCCCCTCTCCCTCGAAAAATATTTTCCCTGAGGAACATTTCCCTCTAACCTTTGGACATCATGATTTATGAGCACACACACATCCCCTTTTCGGTTCCGCCCTTGAATTGAACAGGTACCTACTTGTTTAAGTTTCAATGTAAATGGTCACAGATTGTGTGAGTAGTCCTCAGAACTATACTTGACAAAGGTAACACAATCTGGTCATATAACCTTCTGTTTTCTTAAAGGTCACATGCAACAAAAAAATCAAACATAATTAAAACACAATTATCACTTATTCATGACATATAATATACATTGCTGGTTATGAAAAAACATGATAAACAAAATTATAAGCGTACAATCGCAAATCAAAAGTGCAATATTGTGTACTTGGGTTTAGTTCCCAAGAAACGAAGCAGCCGGGATACCGAACCCAATCAGAGCGGGTGGGTGTGCATTCAAGTGTAACGGCTGGTTCATTTGCAGATGCCCTCACGGCTCATTGTGTGTGTATATATAGAGAAGTTGGGTTTTGTAAATACATGCTCATTTTTTTGTGTATAACATTTTGCAATCAACAGACATCATAACATGTCATGTGTTCAAGTATCACACCTGCCTGTCTGTGTAATTCCATAATGTGACAGAGACCGAACTCGGGCCATAAATCAATGCGTTTTGTTTATGGTGTATAGCCTGGACAGCCCGCTTCCAAGTTCCGCGAACCTATTTCACTGCGCACGTGCTATGAGCGCAGCCCAGCTATTGAAAATTAGTGAATCGTTTGAACTCCGATTTCACGCGGGTTTTTTCATCACGTTATTTTTCAACTTTATAAGTTGAATTTGCATTTTTGATGATTTGTTTCGGTAAGTCCATACCGAAAGGTATCAGAATCTGCAAAGTTGTGTCTTACGTTGCTTGTGACCTTTAAAAAGGATTTGACATACATGTATTTCCAATGTGGTTCCAGAAGTACATGTATACTTTACTGTTTTGTAGGTTGAACCTGAAGCTTCTCCACACCTGCGCTGTGAGTGGAGCACCTGTCAGACACACAGGTGTGGTGCCAGGTCTGGTGGCGAGGTGTGACTCACACACACTCTCACACATCCTCTCACACACAGACAAATGCTGGAATGTTCTGGTAGGACTTTATACATGTAAATCCACATCATGTCACAATTAACACATTTTTTTCTCTTCAACAGCAAATATGTGTGAAAGCAAGGAATTTGATTTTGGCACCAAGCAATTATGTTTTTTTATCCCCCCGACATGTAATGCGGGGGGATATAGTCAACGCCTCGTCCGTCTGTCTGTCCGTAACCATTTTGTTTCCGGAGCATAACTCCAAAACCGTTCAATATATTTCAGCAAAAATTGGAAGATATATCAAACAGTACCTGGTGGTGCCTTTTGCTATTTACAGATTTTTGTCATTTTCTTTTTCTCAGTTTCCATGGAAACTTAGTCTTAAAGGGAGGGGTGGGCTTCGTTTCCAGAGCATAATTAAAAAACCATTGAATATTTTTCTGCATACTTGGTAGATATATCAAACAGAACCTAAAGTGGTGCCTTTTGCTATTTACAGACTTTTGTGATTATTATTTTCTTGGTTTCCATTGAAACTATTCGGACTTAGTCTCAAAAGGGAGGGTTAGGCTTCGTTTCCAGAGCACAACTCGAAAACTTCTTAATCTCTTTCAGCAAAACTTGGCAGATATGTGAGACAGATCCCAAAGTTGTGCCTTTTGCTATCTGCAGATGTTTGCCATTTTTATTTTTCCCGGTTTCCATGGAAACAATTTGGACTTAGTCTCAAAAGGGAGAGGTGAGCTTCGTTTCCGGAGCACAACTCGAAAACCGATCTATTTTTTTCAGCAAAAAATTGGTAGTTATATCAAACAGAACCTAAAGTTGTGTCTTTTGCTATTTACAGATTTTTGGCATTTTTATTTTTCTTGGTTTCCATGGAAACGTTTTGGACTTAGTCTCAAAAGGGAGGGGTGGGCTTCGTTTCCGGAGCTCAACTCAAAAACCGTTCAATATCTTTCAACAGAACTTGGCAAATATATGAGGCCGATCTTGAAATGGTGACTTTTGCTATTTATAGATTTTGGACTTTATATTTTTCTTGTTTTCCATAGAAACGATTTTAGACTAACTGTCAGATGATTTGTTCTTTCAAATATGTGGGGGTCGGGGAGATATGTCATCTTCTGATGATTCTTGTTATGTTTCTGCAAACCCCATAAAGTATGTCATACAGCCTAGAAGAATTCTTGTACTTCTGTTGCATTTGTGGGTCAAATAATGTTACTGATATTGGTTTGTTGGTTTATTCAGTGTTTTTGTTAATGATTAAATATTTAGTTGCAAATGTTATTTTTTGTGAATTAATATGTAAGAATTGACTTAAAAAATAAAGTGCCCACTGTTAAGTTATACAAAACTAAAATAGGAAAAGTATTGAAGTCAGTCCTAAAATGAATTCTAGTACTAAAATGAATTCTCAGGAAGTACTAAAGTGAATTCTAGCATTGTAATGAGAAGCTACATTGCAACAATTATACACATATAGTATTGCATTAGGATATGAAGACATCTTATCTGTTTGTCAACAGCTGTTGAATGGGGACCTGAGCTGCAAGTTCCGCCACAAGGGGTACAAGGATGCCGTGAAGGGGAGCTGTGTGGGTGGTGTAGAGTCTGTGGGACATCTCAGTAGACGGGACCAGTGGTTGCAGCACTGTGTGAAGAGACTGACTGAGGTATGTACAAGGGGAGCTGTGTGGGTGGTGTAGAGTCTGTGGGACATCTCAGCAGACGGGACCAGTGGTTGCAGCACTGTGTGAAGAGACTGACTGAGGTATGTACAAGGGGAGCTGTGTGGGTGGTGTAGAGTCTGTGGGACATCTCAGTAGACAGGACCAGTGGTTACAACCCTGTGTGGAGAGACTGACTGAAGTATGTACAAGGAAGGGGAGCTGTGTTGGTGGTGGAGAGTTTCAACTGTCCATGACACAATATATCCTCTGTTTCAGCTGTCAGTTGACATGGTCCTTGTGAAGGGCCTGGTTGAGGAGAGAGTGATGGACACGCTGACCGCTAGTGGTGTGGTCACAGTTCACAGTGTTCCCTTCCGTCTCCTGGAAGCCCTGAGAGAGTCAACAACCACGGAGCTGTGTGTGTATGTCACAGAGGCCAGCAAGGTAGGTCAGCAGTCACTTTATAACTTGTACTTGCTGAAAAATCTTTGCTATTGTTTCCATATTTTGCTGCAAAGATCTTAGTTACTACTCGTGGTGTGACAATTCATATGCATCGATATGCATCGATGTATCGATCCATGGGCCGCCGATACAGTGAATCGATACAAAGTTTTACATGGTCGTGTATCCCGATACGATACTTCAAACGGGCCACGATACATCAATGTTTAACTTAAGAATATTACTGAATCGCGATGACTGTCTAGAAAAAAAACTTACTTTTGTTTGATGATTAAAATAATATTTTTCCTTATCCTGACTCATGCTTATTTGCTTTCTCATCCTCTCTTCTGAACAGTCAAGTTGAAACTTGAATCCCTTCAATCCCTCTTTAAGCGAACGTACAATCACTCACCCTGAATTACCTCCCTTCTCCCGCCAAAACCAGCACGTGACCTCGCCATGCCTTACTCCTCACTCTCTCCTCTATCGCCCAAGCGGACGGTTGGGCGGTCACTTCAGGGTCCTTTCGTGGCTTATAACTTCAAATATATCATAAATAGTACATGCTTATTTACTTTCTCTTCATAAGTAAATGTTTTCTCGGGAAATCAATGCATCAAGAACTGTGTCAGACATAGCACTTGCATGTTATTAACATTCAAGTTCCTGTATAACTTTAATTATCTCGTTTCCAAATGAACATTGAACAACGCTAGCGGAATTTGACGAAATACTTTAAAATTGTTATCCCCCGGCATGTAATGCGGGGGAATAAAGTCGACGCCTCGTCCGTCCGTAATCATTTTCTTTCTGGAGCATAACTCAAAAATCGTTAAATACTTGTCAACAAAAATTGGTAGATATATCAAACAGAACCTAAGGTGGTGCCTTTTGCTATTTACAGATTTTTGTCATTTTTATTTTTCTTGGTTTCAATGGAAACATTTTGGACTTAGTCTAAAAAATCAAGTTGGACTTAAGTAACTGTCAGATGATTTGTTCTTTCAAATTTGTGGGGGCCAGGGGGATATATCATCTTCTGATGACTCTTGTTTTGGTTATGATCTTAAGGTGTTTTATAGTTGGTTTAGAATTAAAGATTTTAGTATCGTCATACTTATTGTATCGCCACCCTTGTATCAGGATTCATATCATATCACAGCTTTAGTACACAATACTTTGGCAATATATCATCTTGACTACAATTTTACTATCATGATGTATCGCATCGCTTGTTGTATGCCAATACCAGCACTACTTACTGATCCACTGTTTACTGGTTTTTATGTCTTTGCAGTGTTGGTTTAGTTTTTGTTATTGAAACTTAAATTCTTATCCAGAGTTTAAATGGTATTCTTGTTGCCAAGTCTCTTTGTTTCTTACAGAGCCATGTATGTGAGAGTCTGCACGTCCGGCCATACTTCCCGTCTTGGTGTGACCATCTCAGTAGTCATGACCCACAGGCAGCTCACATAGTGCTAGACACTGCCGTGGCAACAGCACTACAGGTAACCATGGAGACAGATAATACTATAAGAAACATAAAGAATGATACAACTGGAAGTTGATATCACATGACCAAAAGTTTTGTTCTTTGCTGAACACTGCACTCAGCAATATTCAGTGTGTATGATAGTGATGACACAATGCCATTTAGAAAGTGGTCAAATGTAACGTGTTATATATGGGATTTCCAGTCGCGGTAGCTGAGCGGGTTAGACGACTGGCTTTGTGTGCTGGCGAGTAGGTGCCTGACTCTGAGGGTGTGAGTTCGAATCCCGAATGGGGCTCAACTAAAAAAGTACTAGAATTTGTACTTTACTAAGAAAGTGTAATCCCAAATATAACACATGTTATGTATGATAGTGGCCAATAAATAATCAAGTTTATACCAGACAATCCAGTGAGTGATGCTGTGAACCAATATCCATGCCATCAGGATAGAGCGACACGCTGGGAATATGTCTTAAAGAACAATAAACTTTTGTTTTTTGACTCTTTTAACCATTTGTACATATGAAAGACGTGTGGTTAGTCTTAAGCGGAACACCAAATTCGTTCTTTAAAAACTTGTGGTTAATTAATAACGAGCGATGAAAAGTTGCCAAAAAGTCGCCTGCTTCACTCTCGCCCGCCAACGAAAGCACAGAGAGGTTACGTAACTATGTCGCCAGAGCACTGCAGCGAAGCGGAAGTGACATTATGTGAGGAAGGATTTTCAGTTAGTTGTATATAAGGTGTGTAACAAGCTCGTCATTTTGCTGATTTCTTGACGTCAATGAAGACATGCTGAATCATTGTGTAGGGGTCGGGTGAAGGTGAATGAATGATCCATCATTTGCATATACATGCATTTAAAGAGCTTCTCAAATTATTTTGAAATGAATATGTTCTACAATGATTTGTGAGACCGGGCCAAGATTTTCGTAGCTCTCTTAGTGTTAATGTTAATGTATGGCACTTACGACTATCTTAGCGCTAAGAGAGGCCCAGCCATGTTAGTGTGAGTTAGATATTGATGATTTGTGACTGTCATGGCTAAATAACCAGATCTTGGTCTTGTTTTGAGGTGATCGTATCTGAGGATGGAGAGCCTTAATAATGAAACTGTCTTGTTTTGAGGTGATCGTATCTGAGGATGGAGAGCCTTAATAATGAAACTGTCTTGTTTTGAGGTGATCGTATCTGAGGATGGAGAGCCTTAATAATGAAACTGTCTTGTTTCATTTTACTATTTCATCCTAAGTTTGTAAAACTATAGTTTAATGAAAGTGTAAACCAAGCTGGTACTTATATTTTCCCAGGGCGGTGGGGTAGCCTAGTGGTTAAAGCTTTCACTTTTCACGCCGAAGACCCGGGTTCGATTCCCCAGATGTGTACAATTCGTGAAGCCCATTTCTGGTGTCCCCCGCCGTGATATTGCTGGAATATTGCTAAAGACGGCTTAAAACCATACTCAGTCGTTATATTTTCCCATATGTCGATTTAGTGACACGCATGAATGGGCAACTCAAATTTCTGTGTTTGAAAATGAATCGGCTATTGTGTATTTAAAACAATGCTTAATTTCTGCAGACAATCGTGCTGTGTCACCCAAGTTCTCATGCCAACGACATACAGGAACAGGAAGTTGGTCTGTGTAGCCACAGACTTGCTAATGCTTTGCATGATGGGATTGTTCTGCCTGGTGGGGGAGAAGCCGAGATATTCTGTGCGGAGTACCTCCAGGAGAGATGTGAGTGAATGCAGTTTTGTTTATTTCCAGTGTTATGGTAATTAAGGCAGGTAGTCAGCTCTACATCAGCTTATTCTACAAGATGATATACATTTGCATCATCAATCACATCATATTTCAGAGTCTTCACAATACTTTGGCAGCCATATGTAAAATCTGCATCTATATGCATGTATACAAATATATATGCAAACAATGCATGTTTACTGTTTTTCTATGTTTTGTTTTGAAATTTGGAATGCCTGTATATTGTGTTTCTGTCATTTTCCAAATAATTTACACCATAACCAATCAATGTAAAATATACATGCAGTCAGTGCCAACATGTTTGAGACTGCTAACCTGAGCATAGCTAAATTCTTGATTGGCATTTTAGAAGATGCTATTTGATGAACATAAAGAATTTTCTGGATTTCATCCAGAATAAAGAAGATGAAATCCAGAAAATTCTTTATGTTCACTGAACATTTTAGTGTTATCACATGTGACTGTTAGTGACTGGATTCATACTAGTCGATGAAGTTGCAGGGACTGTCAAAAGCTTCTTGTTGTTCTTCCGTTTCTTCACCCGTGAAGATCCAGGTTAGAATTGATCTTCGACAACCTATGCTTGTCGTAAGAGGCGACTAACGGGATCAGGTGGTCAGGCTCGCTGACTTGGTTGACACATGTCATCGTATATCAATTGTTTAGGTTGATGCTCATACTGTTGATCACTGGATTGTTTGGTCCAGGCTCGATTATTTACAGACCACTGCCATATAGCTGGAATATTGCTCAGTGCGGCGTAAAACTAAACTCACTCACTCACTGTGTTTCTTCATAGTATATTCTACATTTTAAGTTTCCTTTGTGATAAAAGAAAGGGTGAGCTGCAGAATCTTCTGGCCTTAGTTTTACAACGATGATCTCCTGTTGAACCTACCAAGGGCTGGAGAGATAATAAGCAGCATGGATATTCATTATGTCAATTTGTATTGATGGTAAGATTCCCTCCCCCCCCCAAAAAAAAAAAAAAAAAAGAAAAGAAAAAAAAGAATATTGCAAACACTCTTATTACAGTTATGATAATTAAATCATTATCTGTTTCAGGCAGCAAGATTGAAGAGGTCACCTGTGACCTTGACCTTTACAGACCTGTGGTAACTGAAGCAGTGGCAGATGTGTTTCACAAGATGGGCAGATTGGTTACTAACAACTGTGCTCACCCCCAACGTACTGAATCTCTTGATGATCACAGAATGTTGGGCAGTTCATCTCTGGAGAGAACTTGCCACTCATCGAATCTTCCACACACAAATGGCCCTTCACTGCAACACAATAACCCAAACAAACTGTGTGATGTTCAGGGGATGTCTTGTAAGAATAGACATGAAAGAAGTTCTCTTTCGTTTGACAATTACAATTCTAAGATGGCTGCCTGGTCTGCAGCTATGGATACTGTTGCCATGGTAACCCAGACAGATGCTCATGTCGTGACAGGAGTGTCATCTGATGAAGATGGGAGACGTGGAACCTTTGTGAAGGGCATAACTTTGTAAAATAAATGAAAATGTTCATGTTGTTCTTCATGTTTTTAAGTAATTTTGACTACATGTTATGTTGTTATGGGGAGCATGGGGTATAATGTCAAAGCATCTTTTCTCAAGAGGACAACCAGATTATTAAATATAATGAAAATTTGGTTTTAATTTTATGTTTTTTAAGACCTATTTATCAATAAAAGAGCTAAATGGCTAAATGTAGCTAATGTCAGGCAAAACAAGGGGGAAAGGGTCCGGCATTTTGAGAAGTCATATTTCATTACATTTCATCCGAGATTGGTTGTTCACCCAAAACTCCGTACAGGCATTTTGAATCTCAAAATTGAGTATGTTTCATGACATTTTGTCCATGGAAAGGATATGCTCATGGCTTTTGGTCGGATGGTCCTGTTATCTATGGCCAAAATATCACTGGGTTTCCTACGTGGTTGTGCCAGTATCTGCTGATAAATCCAATAACCACTAAAGTTTGATTTGGCATGCAAGAATGTTTGGTTTGATAGCACCATAGCCATGCTTGTAAATGTCACTAAACTGGTGAATATCTAAAGAGGTGCTTTTCCTCAAGTATAAGTGGGGGCAGTGGAGTAGCCTAGTGGTTAAAGCTCCGAAGACCCGGGTTTGATTCCCTACATGAGTACAATATGTGAAGCCCATTTCTGCGTAAAACTAAACTCACTCACTGCAGTATAAGTGACTCACTCACTCCAGTATCTGCTGGTGCCTGCCAGGATAGCAGAAGATGACTGGTTTTATTCCTGGCCTGGTCGCACCCAAATACAGTTAAAGATAGTACTTGTTGTTACTCTGCCTGCTATTCATCTCCAAAGGGAGGAAACATGGACGTGTTGACTCTATGTACTGTCTGTATGGTGTATCATGTTAAACTGTGCCTCAGTGCACTAGTGCCAGCATATCTTGGGACCTGTACAAGCAGCCAGTCACATGCACACCTGCATGTGTATACAGGTGCAGTAAACTTGAATGCAGCATTAAGATCTGTTTCACCTCATGACACATATGTTCAGTGCAATTCACCTTCACAATACCATACCATTTGTTGTAAGACCACCTCCGTGGTGTAGTGGTTAGAGCGTCCGTCCGGAGAGCGGAAGGTCGCGGGCTCGATCCCCAACCGCGTCATACCAAAAGACGTTAAAATATGGTACTTGTTGGTCCCTGCCTGGCGTTCGGCATTAATGGGTACAACAAGGACTGGTCGGCTCGGAGTCAGTATAATGTGTCTGAGTGGGGTATTCATGCTTCACTGCCGCATGGTATCTCAGTGGGCTAGAACTATAAAACCAGCTTACGTCTGGGCTAGTACAAGCAGCCGCACATACACATACACACACCTCGTCATATGAGCGAAATATTCTCAAGCAGGACGTTAAATCCAATTTCACCTCACCTCACCCCATTTGTTGTAAAGATGTTAATATGATGGAGTTCATTTAACAATTTGGGAATTTCTACTCACACTTAATTGCTGCAGAATGATGCAAGAAGACATTATGGGTTGAATATTAACCCTGGTAAGACAGTGATAGTGATTTCACATTTGCTTACTGTGCAACTCTTCAATCCCATTTTAGAATATTAATTCTGACTGAAATATTGCTGAATACAAATACTCATACATTGATCAGCCCTCAGGGGGATGAGACCCATGAAGGTCCAGGTTAGAATTGATCTTCAGTAACCCATGCTTCTTGTAAGAGGCGACTAACAGTGATCAGGCTCGCTGACTGGGTTGACACATGTCATCGTATCCCAATTGTGTAGATCCATGTTCATGCTATTCATCACTGGATTGTCTTGTACAGACTCTGGACCATTGCTGAGCTGGAATATTGCTGAGTGCAGCGTAAAACTAAATTCACTCACTCACTCAAAGGGGATAAGACTCCACAGTTGCACACTGACTACACTTTTTAATTCAAATACTACATTTTAGACAATACCTATCAACCAAGCCACTAAACCTGGCCACCCTATCCATAAAAAACCGAGATCCGACATAGGTTTCCATGGTAATGGCAAACGTTCTACCCTTTCACCTACTCCACTGCAGGGGCGGTGGGGTAGCCTAGTAGTTAAGGCGCTCGTCATGCCGAAAACCGGGTTCCATTCCCCACATGGGCACAATGTGTTAAGTCCATTTCTGGTGTCCCCTGCTGTGTTATTGCTGGAATATTGCTAAAAGCGGCGTAGAACTAAACTCACTCACTACTCCACTGCATAATGGTTATTGGTGATGCAGATGTTAGATAGTGTTAGTTACGTCAGAAGCACACCATGTATAGGTGGACGCCTCCGTGGTCTAGTGAATAGAAAGTCTGCCTGGAGACGACCGCCTTCGTGGTGTAGTGGTTAGAGCGTCCGCCGGAGAGCGGAAGACCAAAAGACGTTAAAATATAGTACTTGTTGGTCCCTGCCTGGCGCTCGGCATTAATGTGTAGAACAAGGACTGGTCGGCTCGGAGTCAGTATAATGTGCCTGAGTGGGGGGTATTCATGCTTCACTGCGGCATGGTATCTCAGTGGGCTAGCACTATAAAACCAGCTTTAGTCTGGGCTAGTACGAGCAGTCACAAATTCGCATACACACGCATGCACGTCGTCATATGAGCGAAATATTCTCAAGCACGACGTAAAACCCAATTTCATCTCAACTCACCTGCCTGGAGACAGAAAGGTCATTAGTTGTTCCTCGCCAATTTCTAGCAAGGGGTAAACTATGGTGCGTGGTGTTACCGGGCACTACAGGAATATACGGAGTAGTCGGCTTGTACAGTCAGTATGTGTCTCAAGGTTGTTGTTTCTTATAATTTGTTTATTTATTCTAAGCATTTACACGGTTTTGCATGACAGTGTATTTAGGAGAATAGAGCATGGCAGTTTGACCAAACCTTATTGACTGACTGACTGACTGAGTTTGGTTTTACGCCGCTTTTAGCAATATTCCAGCAACATCACGGCGGGGGGACAACATTAGTAGGGGTAGTCTCCATTACACTTAATGACAGAGGTATAATTTGTTAAGTTATAAAATTCAGTGAGCTCCTCGTATGAACTGGAATGTTCCTGGGTAGTTATTCTTTCTAAAGTTGAAAATGATTCGTTTTGACAGGATAATTAGTATTAATTACAAGGTTTAAGGGATTGTTATTTTTCGATAGATAGCCAAAAAGAACGTTTTCTTTACATATTGTTACCGGGCTTTGCATTTTGTGTGATATCCAAGTTTCCAGGTCTCTCCAGATGGAATTCACTTTGTTGCATTCCCAGTTTTTGTTTCAAGGTCTTATTTCTTTGTTTAACCCCGCGCTCAGCAATTTTCAACTGTATGACAGTGATCTGTACATATAAACCTTCAGTGTGGTTCTCACTATATATATACGAGTCTGGTCCAGACAATCCAGTGATTGATAATTTGACCTTTGATCTACAAGACTGGGATACGATGACATGCGCCATCCAAGTCAGCGAGAATGACCATCCGATCCCTTGCCTTTCACAACAAGCATGGGTTACTGAAGGACTTGACGGGTTTGTCGGGTTGTAGTATCCATGTTTAACAGCCTATGAGCAAGGCCCACACGTTGGACTTTTGAAATATCTTTTTTGTTTTCTGTCTGTACCCAGCAACGAGGTAGATGACACAGTATCGGAATAATTGTTATGGAAGGATACAGGTAATCGCTGAAGCTGTCTGATTGCAACATGGTATCTCCTGGACAAGCACCATTAAAGGAAAGCTGAACTCCAACTCTCGGTCGTCTAGCCGGTAGCCAAGTACTTACAACGTTCGCTCACCACGTCAAGCTGCGTAAATCCTCACTCATGCTGTCTACCCGTGAAGATCCGGGTTAGAATTGGTCTTCAGCAACCCATGCTGGATCGGGTGGACAGACTCGCTGACTTGGTAGACACAAGCCATCGTATCCCAATTGCGTAGATCGATGCTCATGCTGTTGGTCACTGGATTGTCTGGTCTCGAATATTCTCTTTCTCTCCCACACACACACACACACACACACACACACAAAGTGGGCTTCGGACCACTTGGAGAGCACCTGGTGAAATTCCCTTGAATTCTTATATTTGATTGGATGGTGCTCACCAAAACGTTTTACCATGGAAACCCTTCTGCCTATGTATTATGCATGAACAATCATGCAGTGGGCTTTTGGGGTTATATTTTTAAAAAAAGAAACCCTCAGTTATCACACTTAAAACAGACACGCCCCTTATTTTGGCATTTCTTGTATCTGGGGTATTTATTTAATCTGGGCTTTTAAATCCAGGACTGACGCGGAGAATATTAACAGGTCATGAATATGCACGTGACTGGGTAGCAAGGAAAAAATGGCCCGTTAGCCGCAAATTATAAGTCAGTACTAGTACAAACAGGCACACACACTCAGACACACGTGCATGCACGTCGCAATTGAAGTGTAACAATCTTGTTTAGAAGACACCTTATGCATCTCCTGCGTCGGGATGGATGTGGATGGATCATCTATTTGTATATGCATACGATTTTGTGGCCACAGACTCAATCAGATTTTTCTGTATATACTCATTCTACCAGAGACCATGGTCTCTGATTCTACCATCTGTGTAGCTGGTATTTCCTCTGTAATAATTCGTTAAATTATTTCATTAAATCTGAACTAAATCGATACTTAAATATGATTTTAAATCATTGCTTGTATGTAATCAAATTACGTTTGTGAATGCTATATGCATATAGATTGTGTGGATGCGAGTGGAAAGGTTAGTGCACATGTTCTATATTTTAACGGCCATTCCTTTTTTCACATTTCACATTTTTAGAATATGGCAATTGTTCTGGTTGTAACTGTAATCTGTATATCATACAGCACATTGCCACCCTCTGGTACGTCATGTGTATATTTTGTGTACATGTTATTTACATATCATGGGAATTTGTGGATGCGGTATGCATGCGATGCTTCAAGTAAATGAAATCGTCTGAAAATCACAATTTAATCATTCGATTTTAACTGTAAATACTGTGTTTTGACCGTGCATTAATGTATAATGTCAAGGATCAATAACATTTGTTGTGTATTAGCATTTGGTTTAAACATATTTATTCATGGAGGTATGAATGGATTGGCCAACAAGCTCCGAAGAGCTTATTTGAAGGCCGCTTCCATAAACAAATAAAACATGTACAAGTAAATACAGGAACAGATGACACATTGTTACAAGTCTTGTTTATCAGTAATCAACATAGGAATAATGCATGGATATCGATTTGTTTGTTTGGCAGTCGATATGAAAGTATTTATGAAACATCAAATCGATCAGATCTTATTATATCGTATTAACAGTTATTAGTTATTAAATTAGATGTAAAAGTAGTTTATGACACTGTGATATTGTTGTATTATGTAATCTGTAAGATATTTTCGGTGTATTTGTATAATTTTATATGCATAATTAGAAAGCTTTCAAGCCCTTTTACTTGTTTTATGAAAGGACGTATGTAGCGACCAGAACTGGGATACGTAACCGACTTGCAGGCTGCAAAACAGTGATCATATTACGGTTCCTTTTCCGTTTCTTGTTCGTTTCCTCTTTTACATTGACTGCCGCCATTTTCGAGTTCTGACAGGAATAACGGAGTGAAAACCGAACATGCCGCGGGAAATAATTACACTACAGCTCGGACAATGTGGAAATCAAAGTACGGTAGTTGTTAAGTACTTGTCACTGAATGTGCGAGTTTGTTACTGTTTCGTGACATCACTTCTAGCAAGTTGGAACTGCCTTGTTTTGCCTTGCTTATGAAGTTCTGGCCAGTCGCTGAAACTGTGATATTTTTATTTCCCCGAAGTTTCACTGACAATTCAAACTCATAGTTACCGGCAGATAAAGAAGTGCTTCGTGTTTGTCATGATTGGTGTCAAATCATGCTGACCCTCATTGACTGTGTTACACTAGGTTGAACACCTATACTTTGATCTGAAATGGCTAATGAGTAATGTTTTGACAGTAGATTTTGTACAATGCCCTGACAATGCTATGACGTCATGAACTTGTTGACGTCACAATGTTATGACATCGCTGCACTGCAGATCTAATGGCAGTATACTGTGTTCATAGTTGTACGTTTTTCTTTGAAAATTCGCAAGGTTTGTTCGCAGTACCACTCAGATTTTTGGGGAAACAATACAGACAAATTGACAGTTCTGAAACTTTAAAAAAATACATAAAAGAACTCCTTCTACAGCTTTCAGAGTACCTCTGCATCAATTGTGTTGCCAAGTTTAAACGGTTAGATAATTGATGAAGCGAAAGTGAGTTCTGATTGGTTTGCCCAACTTCCCAGCGTAGACACCTGATTGGATAAAAAGCCAGCCAAGGGAGGTAATAAAATCATCGGGCCAAGCCGTGGATGCATCCAGGGTATAGTGGAGAGTGATCATAACGTTATACTCTGGAGATTATTGTTATGCATGATATTATTAGTCAACAGTTTCTGTTTTGAAGTAAAATCACTTTTCCCATGTTCACTGTTATGAAGTCTCTCTGATAGGCATTCCATGATTTTTAGCATGTTAAAAATTTAATGTCATGCACTTACTCTTTAGCCAGACGTCAGTAAGACTAGAAAAGTCCTTTTCTAACATACCCGTGAAGGTCCGGGTTAGAATATTGATCTTCAGTACCCTTGCTTGTCATAAGAGGCGACTAACGTGATCGGGTGGTCAGGCTCGCAGACTTGGTTGATACATGTCATTGGTTCCCAATTGCGTAGATTGGTGCTCATATTGTTGATCACTGAATTGTCTGGTCCAGTCTTGATATTTACAGACCGCCGCCATATAGCTGGAATATTGGTGAGTGCGGCGTAAAACTAAACTCACTCACTCACTCACTCACTCCTTTTCTAACAATCAATTATCACCACAAAGAAGCAGACGATCATTTCAGATAAAATTTTGTTCTCTCTTTCCAGTTGAAATGGATAAATCCATGTGAAGTAGAATGATTTCGATTGTTGCCATTTTTGTATTTCTGTCTTTCCAGTCGGAATGGAGTTCTGGAAGCAGCTGTGTGCAGAGCATGGGATAAGTCCAGGTATTATAGGATGACAGCAGGACTGGGATGTACCCAGATACATGACCCCATGTTTCCTGATCCAACTTCGGTACTCACCACAGGTGTGGGGTACATAATGTCCCATTTGGAAATATTTTATAACAGCCCTGGCAGAAACTAGATAAATGTATCAAACAATCTTATCATGCATACACTGAAGCTTTATCTTTATTGAAACATGCATGTAAAAATCAGAAGGAATGCATGCACAGTCAGAAAACATGCGCGTGAACAGTAGCTAACTGTTGTGTGTCTATGAAGTGTCTATGTCATGACTAGGGGTGAAACGGTACGCTCTTACCACGGTATGGTACATATTGTGGTACAAGGCCTTCAGTTTGGTCCGTTTCGGTTCGGTATATGAGAACTTACTTCCGAGAAAAAATAGCGGCCGCCAAAGAAATGCATAGATTTTGACAAAATGATTCGATTTCTAGACATTTTAGAAAAGGTTTTAAAAGGTTAATAAATGACTGTACGAAAACCGAAAACACCAAATTTTGGATTGCATTACGGTATATCAAACCGAAGGCAAAATACCGTGGTTCTACTAGTACGGCGGTATACCGTTTGACCCCTACAAACCACGTGGATCTCCAAGCCCAAGTTGACATAACATGCTGAACATTCTTCCTGCTGTTATTAAATACACACCTGTTTGAAACAATAATTACAGTATGTAAAGAATTTAAATGTACTGTGAATAGGAAATTCAATGGTATGGAGTGAAACCTGTCATAGTTTCCACTCCATGGGCAATTACTGCTTGAAACACTTACAAAGTGGAATGACTCTTATAACAATAAGTCACATGTCTGAAATTTTGTTTATTCTGGACTGGTTTGAGTGAGATTGCTGTGTTTCACTGTACTTACATTTTTATACTGACAATGATGTATGTTTATGATGCATATTTCAGAGGGTATTCTTGAAGAGTATGCAACAGAAGGAACAGACAGAAAGGATGTGTTCTTTTTATCAGGTAGGACCAATTTTATTTGTCAATATAAGGGCGGTGGGGTAGTCTAGTGGTTAAAGTGTCCGCTCGTCATGGCGAAGACCTGGGTTCGATTGCCCACATGGTTACAATGTGTGAAGACCATTTCTGGTGTCCCCTGCCACGATATTGCTGGAATATTGCTAAAAGTGGCGTAAAAATCACTCACTCATCAATATAACAGTTGCCATGTATCCCTGTCCTTTATGATCTGCCGGTGACACAACCTGTCAGAAAAGTACTATCAGGAACTGAGATTATTGTCTGATATATATTTATTTATGAATCTGAAAGAATATCCACAAGTCACTTCAAGCAAAGCATATCTTGGATCATTATGAATGGGGGCGGTCGGGTAGCCTAGTGATTAAAGCATTCGCTCGTCACGCCAAAGATCCAGGTTCAATTTCCCCATTTCTGGTGTCCTCTGTTGTGATACTGCTGGAGTATTGCTAGAAGTGGGGTAAAACTAAACTCACTCAATAACACTCATTATGAATGATAATTTAATGTTTAACAATACTTAGTTCATTTTGTAACGTCGGTCATGTCTAGCAATGCTACCAAAAGTTAACAATGCATATTTTAAGTTGTCACCACCTGTGAAGGTCCGGGTTAGAATTGATCTTCAGTAACCCATGCTTGTCGTAAGAGGTGACTTACAGGATCGGGTGGTCAGGCTCGCTGACTTGGTTGAAACATGTCATCCTATCTTAATTTCTTAGATCGATGCTCATGCTGTCGATCACTGGATTGTCTGGTCCAGACTCAATTATTTACAGACCGCCACCATATAGATGGATTATTGCTGAGTGTGGCGTAAAACTAAACTCACTCACTCACTTAACTTGTTCTCTTCATTACAGTGATTACTGTTTTGCAGTTGTGAACCAAATTAGTTGATGCCTGAAAACAATACATACCATGTATACATGTTTTTATTTGGTCCCATGCATTCTGACACATAAAGGATATCCTTCCCATATATACCACTTGGAGGAGTTATGTACATTGATTTGGTGGACTTATTATTTGAAACGATTTCATGCAATGTGGATGTTGAGAGCGGAGCAGGTTGTGGTTTATGGTTTTGTCACGTGAAGTGCATCACATTTGTAGCTAACATGCTGTCAGTCCTTAGGAACGGTGTGATAGCCTAGTAGTTAAAGCGTTCACTCGTCATGCTGAAGACCAGGGTTCAATTCCCCACTTGGGTACAATGTGTGAAGATCATTTCTGGTGTCTCCCATTTGATATTGCTGGAATATGGCTAAAAGCGGTTTGACAATAATCTACGAACATACTCACTCACTCACTCATGGTGATAAGGATAAAGTCCATCTCTCCCTTGACAAGGGTGCTCACCTGTCCGTAGATTATTCTCCATTTTCAACCCTGGCTACCTGGGTGGTGATGCAGCTTGCATCCTGCTGTATTATGTATATGATGAACCTTTCCTGTTGTATCTGAGTGCTAGTTCCCCCTGCTGTAGAAAACTGAACTGTGTTTAGATTCTTTTTCAGAAGAAGTCCTCCTTGGGGTACATATAAGCATTAAAATGTCTATTTTAAATCCTACGACAGTTGTAACTATATTTTTAATAAAATATTTACAAAACAAAAAACTCGTTTTGTCTTGTGAGACCACCCCTACAGGGCCCCACCGGACCAACACAGCCAAGAGCAGGTAACTCTCGCCGTCTACCTCGTACCTCACTTTTCATGCTGTCGTTCTGTTGAATAGACGTGTGTGGTGTTCGTTTCGAGTTTGCTCTCCTACTGATACGATGAGTGTAAAAGAGTCTCAATCTGTATGTATGGTTCCTTTCTCGCGACGGGCGCTAGATGGACGTCATATGTGGATATTTTCATTCAGCTTTTGTTGTAACTTTTGCCGGGTTCTCTGTTTTCCAGCCATGTGGTATAAAAATGGCGGACCGCTGACGATCGCGGGTTTCCTTGCTATATGTTATTGGTAGCTTGTAGTAGGGAGTTCATATATTCTGTTTGCATATTATATGGTAGGCTTGCCTAAATTTCTTTCTTTTCAGCGAATTTGTGGTAAGTCGCGTTGTTGAGTAATTTTGATAGTGTTCGCTTTCAGATCACTCAACTTTACTCTATCACTAGTACACGCAGGGGTGGCTAGCCTTTTTTTTCTGCTTTGCATTGTATGTTTAGTATTTAAATGGCTGTAGCTTGTAGCATTTATATATCGCTACCGTCTGCGGATTATTGTTGCTATTACTTGTGTTTATGTGTTTGCTGCTTCACAGTTCCTGCTAGTAACACTGGCGTGGTTCTGTTTGTTGCAGTTTAAGCCCTGTGCGTTGTGCCATGCACACTACCGCCACAGGATGGTTATAAAGTGTGCCTCCGGTGTTTAGCCGAGGGACGCCACGACTTCCATCAAGGATGCTCATAATAAACGCCCTTAAGGCCAATATTCCTGTTAAATTATGTTGTATTATGATACATATTTCATACGTTTACACACAACGTGGCTCATAGGCCGAGGTTGTGGTTTTGTCTGGGTTTCTGCCTCACGCCAAGATTCTTCCCGACAACGCAGATTTTATGTTTTTCACTAATCTGCTTCAGGCGGGGGATAATATTTGATAAAAGGTTTCTAAGGAAATCCCTTTATCGTTTCCCCCGCAAACAATGTTGCTGACTTAAATATGACTTCACTATTGCAGCAACATATTCTTCAACATAATGTCAATTCGATGATTGATAGCGCGATGTCCGGGCTCCGTAAGGAGCTCGGCTCGCAAAGTGTTGATCTCGAAGGTAAGTTCACCAGGTGTCGTCTGTGGTGAAATTCCCACCGATTGACACGGTGCTGTCTGGGTTCATAAAGGAGCTCAGCACGCCTGTCGCCGGGGTGGATCGGACGATCTGGGGGTTGGCTGCGCCCGAGCTCTGGCTCGGAGAACGCGCCTCCTCCCAGGCAGCTTGATCCTGGCTTCGGCTCAGGTGATGGTGTGCCTTTGGCACCTTGTGGCGACCTAGCTTCGGGCTCAGGTTCATCGCGAGCGCCTGGCGCCCGGCGATGCAGGTTTTGCCCTGTCTTCGCCTGGTGCCCTGACTGGCGGTCGCCTAGGCCAGACCAGCTCGGGGATTACCTCGGCGCTTCGGCACCTTGTGGCAACCTAGCTTCGGGCTCAGGTTCGTCACGGGCTTCGGCGCCGGCGATGCAGGTTTCGCCCTGCAGGTTTTGCCCTGGTGCTCTGACTGGCGGTCGCCTAGGCGCCGACCAGCCTCGGGACACCTCGGCGCCATCGTGGTCAGTCGGGTTGCCCGGAAACCTGTATATCGGCAGGTTCCTCTCGCACCCGGTCTTGGTTCCACTGAGCTGTCGATCACCTCGGGCGCTCCTAGGTCTACCTGTGTCCACTAGGCAACCTGCATTGCCAGGCTACTCCCTTGTGTCTCGGGACTGCAGATCGGACTAGCACCGACCTGGGCTTCGCCCCGGTATCGGGAGCAGATCCCCGGCGCTGTTAGCTCAGGTCTCGCCTGATGTCTATCGATGCCCTGGCCAAGAGGCCGTTGAGTGTGACGAAGCTGCCGATCACCGACGCCGCCGAGGGTCTACCACGTGGTACACCAGGGGAGCCCTGCATTGTCAGGCCACTCCCATGTTGGGGATCGGGGTTCGAACTTCGAACCGCCGACCCGAAAGCACACTTACGCATATACATGTGTATGTATGGGTATTTATATAGCGCTATAGGCTATGTTTGACTATACGCCAGTGCTTTTGGAGAGTACCGGGAAACCTGATTTATCAGGCTACTCCACGTGTCTCCGGGATCGGGTTCGGGTCCAGAACAGCTGAGCTTGCTCTGCGGATTCTCTGAACCCGTGGGTAGCGCCGACCCAGGCTTCGCACTGGTAGGGCGCAGATTCCCGACTCGGTAGTTCAGGTCTTGGCGCGGTAGTTCAGGTTCGCCTGATGTCTATCGACGATTGACCTAGAGATGCCATCGAAGTGTGCCGGGTGTGACTGTCACCGCCGCTCCGAGGTCTGTCTGAGTGCTTGTGAAACCTTGATTGTCAGGCTTCTCACATGTGCCTCGAATCGGGTTCAGGTTCAGCATCATACAGTGGACAAGTCGATTTGAGCTTCGCTCATTTCGCTACTTTGAACTTACCACTAAGTAGGTTCGCCCCTGAGGGCAAGTCGCGAGATAGAATCGCGGCTGTGTTGCCTCAGGTGTTGTCCATGTCGACTACCCGAACCGTTGGAGTTCGCCTCCCGGAGGGAAGCCTGCTTCCAGCACGGCATCCGGGACAAGGCCTCACACTCTCCCTTAAGTCTGCCGTTCTTTCCCCTTCACAGCTCAACGCTGTATGCTCCACTCGGCGCATCTCTCAGCGCTGCTGAGGGAGCTGGTGGAAAGGGGAGAGAGCGCCGGTGGAATTTTTTTTTTTCGTCGGCGACTCTGGGCGGCATCTGACGGGGGCAACTCTCATCTGGCTAGGGACTGCATTGTAGCTGTGCCAGTCAAATGATGAGGGCGGTTATGGGCATATACGCCCGGGGCTAGTTACGAGGAATACGGAAGTCTGTTGAGCTTCTCGTTAAGTTGCCGACTGCTGGGGTTACTATATTCTGCCGCAAACACCGGCGGAGCGACACACTCCTGTGTCGGCTTCCCGGGAGACGGCGACAATACTCCGTGCCCAGATCCAGTCTTTGCTGGGTTAGGCAACCAGTGTGGTGGTTTCCAATGGTCAGGAATATGTGGGGTTTGACTCCACTTATTTCATAGTTGCCATTACGAACGGAATGTTCAGACCCATTCTCATCTGAGAACTGAACAAGTTTATAGAGGTACTGTCCTTCAAGATGGAGACACCGCGCTCGGTGATCTCATCTGCCGAGACAGGGGATTGGCGCACGTCAATCGACCTCAGTCGCTGCCTCCTTGTTCCATTGCACCCTGATTTCAAGATTTACCTTCGGTTTCTTGTTTGGACGGACGTGCTACCAGTTTCGTGTGCTCTCCTTAGGCTACATTACGGTGCCAAGGGTGTTCACCAAATTGAGGTTTATTACAGCTCAGATAGCCAGATCGCCAGTGCGGTGTTGTCACCCGCATAGGCGACTGACTCATCGTGGTTTCAGATAACTGTTGAGTCTGGGACCTCTCGATCGATCAGTTGAAACTGGGCGGAATTGTCAACCTCACACGAGTCAGATGGACAGGCGTCAAGCGTCTCTCCGAGGGTCCCCACCCTGGAACACCGCCGCTCTCAGTCCAGCCAGATACATCCCTACCGGGTTAGAGGCGATGTTCTGGGTGACCTGCAGCCTCTTGAGACGAAGTCACAACCTGCACATCAATGTGCTGGAATTGACAGCAGTCAGGTTGGTGTTCGATCCCGCGACCGGGATTGAATTACCTCTTCGCCAGACATTCTCACTCTGCACGGGCGCCACACGAATCCCTCGGATTCACTGGGTGGCTTGGCCTCTGTCGGGTATAACACACGGAATTCCTGCAACCGCTGCAGACACAATTCTGCCTGGGATTCGACACCCGTTCAGTGTGTTGATAGGTGGGCGGCTGGTGTGTGCAGATAGGGGATTTCATAATCCCTATTCTGCGGATGTAGTTAGGATATTGGAGTTACTATAACCTCGTTTTGGTTGAGAGCCTTATGACCTCCACCATTGCCGGGTACTCCATGGCTATTTCCACGTTTCACACCTCGTTCGATGGTGCTCTGCCTAGGCAGCATCCTCGTACATCGGCATTAAGTAGCTGGCATGAACAGGGTTCGACCGCTCGTCGGCCGGCCAGCCCACCTTTAAAATTGCCACTTATTCACAATTGGCTCTCTGGCCCTAATTTTTCAAGTATATCATCTCTCTCACTTCACTTGTTGCGTGGAAGACGACTTTACTTGTTGTGGTGAACTCTGGTAGAAGGGTCGGGTACATCCATGCGATTCCCACTGACCGACACTGACAGTATTTTATACTGATCATGTCCAGATTCGACTCGGATACCTACCACTCTCAGTCGCGATATTGCTTTCCACATGACTGCTCATATCGCGCTTCTTCCACTACCACCTTCCGCACGAGGGGACCAATCTTTCGATTGCTCACCCGTGCCTGTCTGAAACGATCGAACAAAAGGGATCCGTCACGGGTACCCATGTGTGCTGTTTGGTGGCGGGAAGACTGGGGAGTCTGCTAGCAAGCGCACTTTATCTCGTTGGCTTGTTTCCGTAGTTGTATGGTTACAATGATACGGTTTACCTCCCCCCGAGGGGTTGAAGGCAGACTGGGTAGGGCAGATGCCGCTTTGTTGACAATACACAGCGGCACTGCTCAATGAAGAGATCGGTTCTGTCGCTCTTTGGAGCCAGCAGAACGCCTTCATTCGCCATTACCAACTTGACACGCATTCTAAGGATCGTTGCTCGGTTCGTCTTCGGTTCTCTCCAGTGGAAGTGACCTGCCACCCTGACCAAGTTAGTAACTGGTCATTGGTATCGGTTCTGTGTTCAATGTCGATATATTTCATATCGGTACATCGTATTAGCCTTACCATCCTTCGGGTTGGGTCGGGTTTGGGTGTACATACGTCCTTTACGCCCCTTCAAGAGGGCGGGTCCGTTTTGAACGCTTTAACCAGTCATATGCTATTAACCCGTCTTTGCGGCGAATTGGAGTCGCGAACCCCACGGGGGCACTGTTTGGTATGCCTCTTCGAGCCGCGCATGTCATTGACCAGGTTAGTGTAATGGTGAGCCAACATATGTTCATTTCACGCTTTTTCGCTATTCAGGGATTTTTTATGCGCTTACAGTTTTTCCCTCTTCCCGAGCCTTCCGGTATTTGGGAGCCTGTGTTAATCAGCTTTGTGGGATGGTGGCCTACACTTACCCTCCTCATGCCGAGAGTGTTTGGTGTTTTCACTCATTACAATGCATGGCGTTTGTACTGTTCGATTTCCTCAGAAAGTTTTAGCGAGGCTAATAATTTCTCTGGGTTTTATCGAGGTCGGCAAGCCCTCTTCCAAACAGGAGGGCTGCATTGAGCATTAGTTTGCAGTACTTATTAGCTTCGACTCCTGGGTTATTGGCTTTGTAGCGTTTAAATTGTTCGCAGCTTTCCCCTACCCTTATACCTCTCGCCACGATTGTCTGGCTGGGGCTATATTAGGGTTTTGGGAGTTGTTCGGCATGTCCCCATACATTCCTTCCATTGTAATGGTTGGAAGTGAGGGGGTTTTATGTCATTGATATTGAGCCAATTGACATATAAGCTTGGGCTCCTAGTTCCTCACCGTCTGATTGACATCAGTGGTCAGGTGGCTCGGTGTTTTCTATTTCCGTATCGGTTGTAGATTTCACTCCACCACGGGTTTAGTTGTTGCCAGACAGAATGCCACTCCGTCTCAAATATCTTTGGGAGTCTGTCATATGCTTATTATGTACCCCAAGGAGGACTTCTTCTGAAAAAGAATTATACAAACCTGTAGAGGTTATGAATTCTTTGAAGAAAGTCCTCCTTGGGTCGGCCACCCGCCTCCCCTCATTCTGTCTGACACGTTCAGCATGAAAAGTGAGGTACGAGGTAGACGGCGAGAGTTACCTGCTCTTGGCTGTGTTGGTCCGGTGGGGCCCTGTAGGGGTGGTCTCACAAGACAAAACGAGTGTTTTGTTTTGTAAATATTTTATTAAAAATATAGTTACAACTGTCGTAGGATTTAAAATGGACATTTTAATGCTTATATGAACCCCAAGGAGGACTTTCTTCAAAGAATTCATAACCTCTACAGGTTTGTATAAATTTTTAGGACAAATGTGAACATGAACCATGTCCAGCTTGTGTTATTCTAATAACAAATTGGGAATGGAAATTAGTCCAGCATCATTTCTGTGTAGGCCGACGACGAACACTACATCCCCCGAGCAGTGTTGTTGGACCTGGAGCCCAGGGTGATCAACTCAATCCTCACATCACCATACGCCAAACTGTACAACCCTGAGAACGTGTACCTGTCAAAACATGGGGGTGGTGCGGGAAATAACTGGGCCAGTGGCTACACACAGGTAAGTTCGACCTTGAAAACTCAAAATATGGAGTAATATTTCATAAATTATATCAATTGTTAATAACAATTTAGTTTGCTTACAGTTTTATGTCAAGACAATATTTTGGTTACGTTCAGGCTGAGAGGCTGTATGAAGACGTGTTCGACATCATAGACAGAGAAGCTGATGGAAGTGACAGTTTGGAGGTAGGGAAACTGTTGTCAGTATTGATTGAATTACGACAGGAGTTTGTGCAGTGGCAGGAAGTATGAATCCCGTTTTTGGACTAGTTGTGAATTATTTTTCAACAATTCTTGTTTTCGAAACATATTCCTGCAATAATAATGTCAATTTATATGAACAGTATCAAGTCCTGTTTGTCTGTTTCTTGTTCCTGCTTCATGCTTATTAGTGAATTAGTGTTGGGAATTGGTTGAAATCTCACAATTGATGATTGCTTCATTACCAACGAAAAATCATCGAAAAAAATTGGTTAGCGTCATTTTTTCAGATTTTCCTATCCAGGTTGTTATTGTAGATATGTATAACATAATGCAACTTGCTACTTTAAAGTGATGAGTAATATATCATGAACATAAACTTCCTGGAGTCTTCATGAAATATTCAGTCATGACTTTTCAGTTAGTGATGTGAGTTTTCTAAGAATTATACAAGTTTTCAGGCCCTGACCACTTCAAAGATATATGTTCCATCGTCAAGTGTTTCAAAGACTAAAACAGCAGTTCCCAAATTGTTTGTGTTCGATTGTGAGAAAATGTGATCGATTGCTTGGTCGTTTGGTCACTTCGACCAATCTTCGATTATTTCAACTAATTGGAACACCACTATTAGTGAATTGTGAATTACTTTTGCAAAACTAAGACATCACACCACTACTATCAGGGTTTTACACAGACGTTGAAAAATGGGACTTAATGGTGACTCACAATATTTATTTTTGGGAGTCATTTTCAATATTTGGGATTCATGATAATTTAATATTTCTTTGTATAATATACAAAAGTTAGAATTTTGCAAAGATTTGATTGAATTGTGTTGTATTGTCATTTATATGATTAGTTAATAAATAATAATATTTCCACTGTTAAATTCAATCATAACAAACTGCAGTATACTGAACAAATAATCACACTTGTGATTTATTCAACGTACAGTTATTAACATACAGTTGTGATGCAAATTTGCTGAAAAGTTACCAACTGATCTCTCTACAAGACACTGAAATAGTTCCAATTCCGATTTCCACATCAGCACTAATATTTGTTCAAAATTGTGATGACTTTTATGCCTGTGGCTGAACTATATGTGTCAGATATGTATGTTCTTTACGAAGTCTAACAAAAATTTGACTTATGTTTGGTAATGCAAACTGTTTAAGGATAATTTCTATTAAATTTGCAATTTTTGTAAGGGCCAAAAACTTGCTCAACACTTGTGTAGTGAAGTATATCAGTGTAGACAGACTGGTGTCTGATGGTTGTGTGTCTGTTCCAGGGGTTTGTACTGAGTCACTCCATTGCTGGAGGAACAGGGTCTGGAATGGGATCCTACCTGTTGGAGAGGCTTAACGACAGGTGTGTACTGGAATACCACTATCAGATTCACAAGCACATTATTAATGAGATATCTCACATTTCCAGGTCATTAAGGACCATCTTGTGGATGGGATGGTCAAGTTGGTTGAGACCCATGAAGGTCCGAGTTAGAATTGATCTTCAGTAACCCATGCTTGTTGTAAGAGGAAACTAATGGGATCGGGTGGTCAGGCTCGCTGACTGGGTTGACACATGTCATCGGTTCCCAATTGCGTAGATCGATGTTCATCCTGTTGATCCCTGGATTGTCTGGTCCAGACTCGATTTTTTACAGACCACTGCCATATAGCTGGAATATTGCTGAGTGCGGCGTAAAACTACACTCACTCACTCAAGTTGGTTGATTTGTGGGTTACCATACCTGCATCATGTAGGTAAGGGCTGTGGGGTAGCCTAGTGGTTAAAGTGTTGGCTCGTCATGCTGAAGACCCTGGTTCGAATCCCCACATGGGTACAATGTGTGAAGCCCATTCTGGTGTCCCCCGCTGTGATGTAGCCGGAATGGTGCTAAAAGCGGGGTAAAACCAAACTCACTCAGTCAGTCAGTCATGTAGGTAATATAGGGAATATTTCTGAGTCCAGCGTTCAGCAGTTAACAAATATATAGTGATGGTTTTCCTGATCATGTCACATGAATCGAGGGAGTGTAGCACCAGGTTTAGGTAGGTAATTGTGAAGTAACAGAATTTGAAACTATGGGGTTTCATTTCAGATTTCCAAAGAAGCTTATCCAGACGTACTCAGTGTTCCCAAACGTGGACGAGATCTCTGATGTTGTGGTTCAGCCGTACAACTCCGTACTGACACTCAAGAGGCTGACACAGAATGCAGACTGTGTGGTATGCTCATTGCTCAGTTGGCTGTATAGGTTTGTCTCACCCAGTTGTCTAAAAACACTGTGCGGAGTTGCCTCCCTTCGGCTCCCTGGTAACAGTGATTTGGGCTTTGAATCCTGGATTGCCTTGTTGAAAATACTTAGTTTGTCAGAAGCATACCCATGTCAGTTTGTGGGTTTTAACAAAGTCGTGAATGTCTAAGCCTTGCATCACTTTGGGCGTTTCTCCATTAAGCTGATGTCTTGATATAGTGAGTGAGTGAGTTTAGTTTCACGCCTCTTTTAGCAATATTCCAGCAATATCATTGCAGGGGACACCAGAAAAGGGCTTCACACATTGTATCCATGTGGGGAGTCGAACTTCGGTGTGACGAGCGAATACGTTTAACCACAAGGCTACCCCACCGCCCTCTTGATACATCTCTGATATTGTTGAAGCAGCTTTAAACCCTTGTCTCTCATTGACTCATTTCTATTGATATTTGGAAGAATGGTTCAAATAGGGTACTGTCATTATTGCTTTTGTTGTTGATGGCTGCTGGTAGAGAATCTAATTGTACTTGTTTGACACCAGGTGGTCCTGGACAACACAGCTCTCAACCGTATCGCTGCTGACAGGCTTCACATAGACACACCCTCCCTGGCACAGATCAACCAGCTGGTGAGGAGATGGGATGCACTTGTATCAGTTTATTATTCTCATATTCTGTGTATTTCGTTATAAGATTGTGTTGAGCTGTTCTGAGGTTCAGTCAGTGAGTTGTCAAGCAAGAAAAGACAAAATATTACAAAGTAACAGAATGTGCATGGTCTTTCGAAAACATTCATTTGATGGCAGTTCAATACAGAATACTTAAATTATTCACCGCCTCCGTGGTGTAGTGGTGTTAGAGCGTCCGCCCGGTGAGCGGAAGGTCGCTGGTTCGATGCCCGACCGCGTCATACCAAAACACGTTAAAATATGGTACTTGTTGGTCCCTGCCTGGCGCTCAGCATTAATGGGTACAACAAGGACTGGTCGGCTCGGAGTCAGTATAATGTGTCTGATTGGGGTATTCATGCTTCACTGCGGCATGGTATCTGAGTGGGCTAACACTATAAAACCAGCTTCAGTATGGGCTAGTACAAGCAGCCGCACATACACATACACACGCATGCACGTCGTCATATGAGCGAAATATACTCAAGCACGACGTTAAACCCAATTTCACCTCACCTCACCTTAAATTATTCACAAACTCAGCCGAGTTATCTGAGATTGCCTTTGTATACTAGTGGATTCTGGAGGTCAGTGGTTTGATACCTGCCCACATCTTACCTGAAGATATGAAAAGGTGGTAACTCTAATTGCCCATGCTTTTGCGTGGCTGAAAAGAGCTTGGCCAGGTTTTGAGTCCCTAACGTGTCTCATGTATGTATTTAGGCATGAATGTAATTAAGCAGAAATCTTGCATTAGAAGTGAAGTGGTGCCACTTTTAATGATGTTCTCTTTGGTTGAGAATTTTATATCATGTTCTTTATGATGCTTAGTCATTTTTGCAACATATTCAGAGAAACCTGTTCGGTTTAACATTACAAATATCTGATTTCATTTTACAACAGGTATCAACTGTGATGTCCACAAGTACGACCACCCTGCGTTACCCTGGTTACATGAACAATGATCTGATTGGCCTGATAGCTTCTCTCATCCCCACCCCCAGACTTCACTTCCTGATGACTGGGTACACGCCCCTCACAACTGACTCACATGTAAGGCTCACCCCTCTAATCAACACCCCCTACCCCAAGTCTTCACTTCCCAGTGTTTGGATCCTTATCCCTCATAAGTGACCCACAGTTAATGGTTCTCAAAGTTCCAACTGGTAGTGCTGGTATATAGCTGGTGTTTTCTCCTTCAATAATTGGCAGATTCGGGAGGATTCTGTATCGTTTTGTTTTGAATGTAGATGTTTGTTGTGATGCTTTGACTGACTGACTGAGTTTGGTTTTACGCCGCTTTTAGAAATATTCCAGCAACATCACGGCGGGGGACACCAGAAATGGGCTTCACACATTGTACCCATGTGGGGATTGGAACCCGGGTCTTCGGCGTGACGAACCAACGCTTTAACCACTAGACTACCCCACCGCCCCTGTGATGCTTTGACTTTAACTTTATGCATTTAAGGCAAATGGGGACTACTTCCTCCAGATTGCTAAGATTCTTTGTTGGATGCATCCTCGATAATTAATTACGTTAAATTACACTATACCCTGGATGCATCTACGACTCGGACCCATGATTTTATTACCTCCCTTGGCTGGCTTTTTATCCAATCAGGTGTCTACGTTGGGAAGTTGAGCGTACCAATTACAACTCACTTTCGCTTCTTTTATCTAACCGATTAAACTTGGCAACATAATTGTTGCAGAGGTACTCTGCAAGAGGTAGAAAGAGTTCTTGCGTATATTTTTTAAGGTTTCAGACCTTTCGATTTATCTGAATGATTTCCCCCTAAAGCTGAGTCGCACTGCGAACAAACCTTCACGGCTGCGACCACTATCTTTGCTGACACTGGTAAGCTCAGTTGTAACAACGGCTTAGCTGATTGGCTACTGTGAGAATGCGGAGCCAGCAAAGGGAGGTAATAAAATTATCTGCCCGAGCCATAGATGTATCCAGGGTACTAGTGGAGATTTTATTGGAACGTATACCCTGGAGATCATCGAGGTTGTGTTGGATGTAACAAGTTCTTAAACTGTAGCAGAAGACTGTTGCCTGTGATGTAGGTTGCCAGTGTGAGGAAGACCACAGTGTTGGATGTGATGAGACGGTTACTGCAGCCCAAGAACATGATGGTGTCGACGCCGGTGGGAGCACATCGCCAGGCCAGTCACTGCTACATCTCCATCCTCAACATCATCCAGGGGGGAGGTGGACCCAACGCAGGTGAGTCACATACAGGTGCACCGAACACAGCTGAGATTCATACAGATGGACTCCACACAGGTGTCACATACAGGTGCACTCAACACAGGTGAATCTCATACAGTTGGACCCAACACAGGTGAGCCACATACAGGTGGACCCCACACACGTGAGTCACATGTAGTTTGGCCACACACAGGTAAGTCACAATCAGGTGGACCACACACATGTGAGGCTCAAACAGGTGGATCCTGTAAATTGAGTGAGTGAGTGAGTGAGTTTACTTTTACGCCACACTCAGGAATATTCCAGCTATGTGCCGGCGGTCTGTAAATAATTGACCAGACAATCCAGTGATCAAGAGCATGAGTGCGATCTATGCAATTAGGAACCGATGACATGTGTCAACCAAGTCAGCGAGCCTGACCCCCGATCCCGTTAGTCGCCTCTTATGACAAGCATGGGATAGTGAAGATCAATTCTAACCCGGATCTTCACGGGTTAGATCCTGTAAAAGTGAGTCTCAAACAGGTTTACGCTGCACATACAGATGGACCCGACACAGATGATACACTTACACCCTGCAAATGTGGGACATATAACATGTGGACCCAAACAGTTGAGGCACGTACAAGTGGACCACACAGGAGAAATTTGTACAGGGGGAGGTGGACCCAAAACTAGTGAAATTCATAGCGATGGACCCTACTTGTTGGGATGTTTGATGTATATTTCTGACATTGCCTAGTTTGCAGAAATGGCAATTCATTGATGAGTACAGTTTATATTCTGAACTCTCATCATATAGGTACAAGAACCTTCAGAGGATACAAGAGCACTGTGTTTGTTAAACTCCTATCCTCACAGAAACATTTCCCTCTCACACATTGCCATGTCTGATCTGTGCAGGTACACAAGAGTCTCCAGAGGATCCGAGAACGGAAGCTGGCCCAGTTTATCCCCTGGGGTCCGGCCAGTATCCAGGTGGCGCTGTCACGCAAGTCCCCCTACATCCAGACTGCACATCGTGTCAGCGGCCTCATGATGGCCAACCACACAAGCATCTCTCATGTAAGTCAGTCACTACATGGACCCCTTGTGTTCAACAATAGCTATTGTGATAGACCAACATATTCAAGTGAGACCCCTTGTGTTCAACAATAGCTATTGTGATAGACCAACATATTCAAGGATAGACACAATATCATGCATCGTAAATAACTTTCGTGGATGCATCACTGTCGCCCTTATACGGTAATGTAATATGACAACAGTTGACTCAATATTCTAGATTTCAGATACAGCAAGGGGGTGTCTAGGTAACGCCATTTGCTATGGAGAGTTGTGCCCCTTGGTCAGGTTTCGGAAGTTTGTGAAGTATTGATCCAGTCAGGTTTTTAAATTTCAAATTTTTAAACTCTACCTATCTCATGATTTGCACTTCTAAGTCTTGCTTCGACACTGAGTGGAACGACAAATTTGGCTGTATCTGGCTGCAAGTTCGCAATCCTCGATGAGAATGTAAAAGTACAGTGTTGATAAGTCCCAATCCTTCATGTTGGATGTAATAAATAGATCATCTGGTATCTTGCTCTAGGCAGCTGTAGGTGGTTGGCGAACCAAGCGATCATGTGTGTCGAATGAACCAAAACATTTCCTGAATCTTAAAGGCAGCTGGCATAGCCCGAACCATGTAAACAAAGATGAGGTTCGATGTTGGTTAAGTGTCTTGGGAGGCATCCCAGGTACGGTGAATTGATTTAACGATGTGAGGCGTTTCGGCGATAAGAACCAGTCATGTATGGCGATTGGTTGTTGTGACCCAATACGCCGTGGCAAAACGGTTCGACCTGGTATATCCATTTGGTGTGGCAAAACAGTTCAGCCTGGTATATCCATTTGGTGTGGCAAAACAGTTCGGCCTGGTATATCCATTTGGTGTGGCAAAACAGTTCGGCCTGGTATATCCATTTGGTGTGGCAAAACAGTTCGGCCTGGTATATCCATTTGGTGTGGCAAAACAGTTTGGCCTGGTATATCCATTTGGTGTGGCAAAAGGGTTCGGCGATTTGACGATGTAGATCGGCTGTGTGAGTCAGCTGGCAACACAGCAGTTGGATGAGGCAGAAGAATGAGTAGACATCTGACGATAAGCCCATAAAATCATCACTTTCCGACATAGGAGTCTTCAAGTGACAAGCAGTTAATACAGGTCATTGAATGCGAGGTTTAGTCAGGTGATTGACCATGTTCTGTTGAAGTACAACGAGCTCTATCTGTCGACGGGAGCAAGCACATCTTAAAGCTTGAAAAGCATCTTTGATAAGGGAGCACATTCCCGACAGCGCTTGCTCCAGGAACACAGGCAAGTACAATCCACTCATGACAAGTGGAGATCCGAGGAAGAAAATATTGTTTACACTGCGCAAAATTACGCTACTTAAGGTCAACTACCCATGATTTATTTCTCATTTTAACTTGTAAGGAAAACTGAGAACTTTCACAATACGTCCACACAGTGGCGCAACAAGAAGTAGAATGAGGCCTTAAAAAAAATGTTCCGATTACCCGACCGACCCTTGAATTCTGGTGCTGACCCTAGACCCGGGTTCGAATCCCACATGGGTACAATTTTTTAAGTAATGGAATTCTGGTGCTGACCCTAATGTTTTTTTAAGCGGAATGAATAAAATAAGCTTTCAGATACCATTGTTTTTCCCGGCACCAGCAGATATCTGTCATTGTGATGACGAAAGTCGATATGATGGCTGAAAGCTTGATTGAATTACACATTGATAAATGTGTTATTAGTTTGTACTTTACTTCTAAAAAAATATGTAAAAAAAAAATTACAACCAACCTACCCTAAATTTTTAAGAAGTGTAATTGGAACCACAACATTTGTTTTATTTGGCCTGATCACTCTGAGGTAGTCACATGGGTAGATAGGGGAGTGTGCTGCATGCTTAAGTAGGGACTAAGGACCTGTCCTATTAGGAGAGCAGCCTGGGGAACACGGGTGTATGGACATGATAGGCCTACAGATAAAGTTCACATTCGGTCCACTCAGTGTCGAAGCAAGAGAGAGCAGAGCAAATCGTGAGATGGGATAAGCATATAAATATACAATTTATAGTTAAAATTTCCAATTTCCTCTTGCAGTTGTTTGAGAGAATCCTCCGCCAGTTTGATAAACTAAGAAAGAGGGAGGCTTTCATGGACCAGTTTAAAAAGGAGCCCATCTTCAAGGACAATTTGGATGAATTTGATAACTCTCGAGAAGTTCTACAGGAGCTGGTTGATGAGTATCAGGCCGCCACGAGACTGGACTACCTTGACTGGGGCACACGGCAGGTAGGCATCTTTGTACTTTCACAGGGCAGATGTTCATGGCTGTTACATGACAGGACCACCTTCATCATCATCTTCATCATCTTTGGGTTGTTTTTTTTTCTTTCGTTGGATGGGCAGTCATGCTGTAAGACAACACAACCTTGAATGGGGTACATGGAAAGTAGTCAGGGTCACCCTCAGTGTCAGCTTTGACCCTTTATACCCCAGGGTGCCGTTGTACAACACAACCTTAGCGCTACGACTACCTTAAGTCTATGTTAAGGTATGGGAGTTACGGTCACCTTAGCGCTAAGATCGTTCTGTACAACGGCACCCTGGTAGTCAGGGCAGTGTCATGGCACCTTGTTTACACGGAAGGCTTACCTTCAATCATGATTACACAGAGATGCCAACCACTCCGATTTTGGTGGAGTTACTCCAATTTACAAATACGAAATCTGCTCTCTGATTTGTCTTTAAAAAAACTCTGATCTTTAATTATTATTTTTTTAATTTATGTTCATGGTATACAATTTCATATGTCACCATGAAAGCATTCGGAAATGTAGCGTGTGATCATTTGGATCTCGATTGTGTATATTGCGTGTTATCGACAACAAAGTTTCATGAAGTTTTTCCAAATGTGTGTCATAGCGTTTATGTAAGTGAAGCAAAATGGTGAAGCTGACAACGAGCTCACCCCCAACCCACAGCTTCGGTGCTCGGGCCTGATTCAGTGTTGGCCCTCTGATTACAGTGGTGAACTGTGATCTGCATCTTGACCTTCACGTTTAACTTGTGTAACTGAAACTCAGCTTTGTCAAAGTGAACTTACATCATGGGATTTTGTCCAGTATGTCCTTCCATAGAATTGTACTTCTGTGTATGTAATAACGTCGCAACAGTGTTTACTAGGACAGTCTCTGGAGTAAAAATGACAATAATTTCCAAATCTCCTATTCTGTTTTATTGCAGGGAGCAGTTACTGAACGTGCCTGATGTTGTTGATAACACCAGGACAGGAATTCCGTGCCAGCTGTCTCACAGAGATGTATGAGGTTCCTAACAATGTGTGTTGTGATGATATCTACGCAATACTCGCATGAGCTCACAGTGGAAAGTCGTATTGGGACGTGTTCCCAGGGTCATGTGTTACCGTATTGTTTCAGACAACCAGGCTGCCACATGGGAATCCTGTGCTATGACTGGAACAATGCTTGAAGGTGTGACAATCTATCTCATCCAATCATTGACTTCACAGATCTGAGAGTTCCACCTTGCCCTTCCATGGATTAGCATCACATATATTTGTACTGTTTATATGTGTGCACTTGGTGGAGGGGTGATTAGAAGGGTGAGAATCTTTTATGGATGCTCTTGTTTTGTTCATGCTCATTAGACTCCTGTGTTGATGTGATCACATGAGTGTTAAGATTTTGATGGAAGTTGATGTCATCATTGTTGCATTGATGTCATCATTGTTGCATTGATGTCATCATTGTTGCATTGATGTCATCATTGTTGCATTGATGTCATTGTTATGTTGATGTCATCATTGTTGCATTGATGTCATCATTGTTGCATTGATGTCATCATTGTTACGTTGATGTCATCATTGTTGCATTGATGTCATCATTGTTGCATTGATGTCATCATTGTTACGTTGATGTCATCATTGTTGCATTGATGTCATCATTGTTGCATTGATGTCATCATTGTTACGTTGATGTCATCATTGTTGCATTGATGTCATTGTTGCGGTGATGTCATCATTGTTACGTTGATGTCATAAGATGAATGTAAACGTCTTCATGGATGCTCTTGTTGTGTTGAGATGAGTCAATGAGTGTGAAAATTTTAGTCCATGCTCTTCTTGTGTTTCTATGATATTACATTAAGCTGATATGCTGTGATACAACTGGAATACTGTACAAAGCAGCTTTTACCCAGCTCATAATCTCTTATCATTATTTTCAATATGACAGAAAAAGAGGCGGGAAGAATCTCCAGAAGCTATTGCTTGAATATTGTTTCAGACAAAGTGGTAAATAAGCAGAAGTCCACATTTTTAGACCCTGACACTGTTTTATGTTGACAAAATAATGGGAACTGATGAAATCAGGGTTTCTTGGAACAATTTGGTATATTTATCAATGTCTGGTTGATCCATGTTGGACAACGCATGCAGAAGACCTTGATGGCATATTGTTGATTCGCTTGTATTACCTACCATTTTACCTATGGTGGGGTAGCCCAGTGGTTGGTCCACGCCAAGACGCTGGTTCAATTCCCCACATGGGTACAAGTAAAGCCCATTTCTGGTGGCGTGATATTGCTGGAATAAAAGCGCGTAAAACTGAACTATTACACACACACATGCACCTATCATGATCCGGGTAAGACTTGGACTTTCTGCAAGCCCATGCTTGTCGTAAAAGGCGACTAACGGGTTTGTGTGGTCAACCTTGTTGACTAGGTTGTCATCGTATCCCATTTGCGTAGATCGATGCTTTTGATCACTGGATTGTCGGGTCCAGACTGGATTATTTAAAGACCGCCGCCAAAGAACTGGAATATTCCTGAGTGTGGTGTAAAACAACAAACAAACAAAACACATCATCCTTCATGAGGGGCTACCCCAAAGGAAACAATGCCATTTAGAATGTGGTAACATGTTATGTTTGGGATTATGCTTTCTCAGTAAAGTACAGATTCTTGTACTTTTATTGGGTCGAGTCCCATCCGGGATTCGAACCCACACCCTCAGACTCAGGCAGGGTGGTGGGGTAGACTAGTGGATAAAGCGTTAGCTTGCCACTCCGAAGACTCAGGTTCGATTTTCCACATGAGTACAATGTGTGAAGTCCATTTCTGTTATCAATCCTCCTCCTCCTCCTCCTCCTCCTCTCTCTCTCTCTCTCTCCCCTTCCTTCTAAACACCAACACACACCCCCCCACCCCACCCACTATTGCTAAAGTGTTGCTAAAAGCGGGGTTTAACCATACTCCCCCAGATTTAAGCATGTAATCGCTAGCACACAAAGTCAAAGCACACAGTACTTTACTAAGAAAGTGTAATCCCAAACATAACGTATGTTTCAGTGTTATTGCGAGTTGATTTCTTCAACTTACTTGTACCGGTTCGATTCCCTACTAGGGTACAATGTGTGAAGCCCATTTCTGGTGTCCCCTGCCGTGATATTGCTGGAATATTGCTAAAAGCGGCGCAAAACCATACACACTCACTCACTCAACTTACTTGTTTCATATGCATATTGCATGGCTTCGATGTATGGTCTGAAGCACTACCATGTAGGTAGATTCTGAAAAGGAAATCATGAACTGAAATAAAGCTAAATTATTTCTTGCAAAAGTATCTGTATTGTTCCTAAGAACCTGCTGAAAAGGATCCATGAACATAGGAACGATAGATCTTGATGTTTTCTAGCTGAAAACAGTTTTATGACAGTATCCTGCGACCCAATGATTTTGCACAATATAGTTGTTTTTCCATGGTTGTGGATGTATTCAGTAAATGTTAATTGCAATAGTGAAACGAGAGACAATTATGAGAAAACAAGTTAGAGCATTTGCTTTTGAGTTATGTGAAATCAAATAAAGTTGAACTGCACTAGCTGAAGAACTGCCTGGACAACTGAAATGGAAAACCAATTGTGAAACGTCGCTACATTACCGACATTCTTGATCAAGTTGTGCCTCATTTTGATAACCACCCATTGCCTACTCGCCCCATATTTATAGGGGTGGGTATTGCAGAGAAGTTTCATATCGCAATGCGAAAGCATGTATTGCGATATGTATTGCAATATATTGCATGAAGTATTTTTAAACAAAAAACTACTTATAATTGAGTTAATTCTTGATTTAAAGAGCAAAAACACAACAAAATCACTTGGCTTGATTAAGCTTTAATAACAACTTTTAATCATGATAAAATAAAAATATGAATAATATTTGGTACAAATGAAACAAGGACTTACCCGAAGATTTCCGAGTGTTACGAAGTTTTCCGAATGCAAGTCAAAATACCGGTTTTCGATCAGCGTATCGCAATACGTATCGTTTTCATGTCTGAACCGTAAATACCCTACATATTTATGGACAATAACGCGGAATAAAGCTATTGAGACTTGACCTGCCAGGAGCCCTGATCTGACTGAGTGAGTGGGTGACTGAGTGAGTGAGTTTCTCAAATTGTGCAGCAAAATATACATGTGCAGGGCTTAGCATGACCAGGCGTTTGATAGAATCGGGTCCATTCTCCCACCTGTCTAGGTGAAGTAAGGGGCGAAGTGGTGTGTTAGGCAACAGGTACACCTGGTCCTGCTTCCTGTACCCTCAACCACCAGACTCTCGTCCTCCACCGACACAGGGGCGCAACACATGGCAAAATGGTTGCCCAATTTGGTCTTACGACGGCAAACAGCTTTCAAGGTCACTTCACGTGCAAACAGACACACCTGTGAACAACCACGTCGTCATTCAAAATGCTTGTGAACAAAAGTGAAAAAGTAACAACTTTATGTAGGTCTGTAGCTTCAACGGACCCGTGATATCCTGAAAATCTCATGAATCTTGCTTACCCCACACAAGCGTGATACCATGTCCAAAAATCAGTACCCTTGAGTACGTTTTTTCTTCGGCAGTAGCATCTGTAATACCTGAACAATTTACAGGATAGAAGAAACCCTTCACGATAAGAGTGAGTGAGTTTAGTTTTACGCCGCACTCCGCAATATTCCAGCTATATGGCGGCAGTCTGTAAATAATAGAGTCTGGTCCAGGTAATCCAGTGATCAACATCATGAGCATCGATCTGCACAATTGGGATACGATGACATGTGTCAACCAAGTCAGCGAGCCTGACCACCCGATCCCGTGAGTCGCCTCTTACGACAAGCATGGCTTACTGAAGGCAAATTCTAACCCGGACCTTCACGGGTATCACGATAAGATTGCAGCCGATGTAACCAGTGTTTTGGTGATAAATGGATAGTTTACAACTTTGAATGGAAAGAGGAGTGCTTCAGCATAAAGTTGTTATCCCACTGGTTAAAAGGTTGTATTGCTTGATTAATTCCTGTGTATACCCTCGTTATGTCGCCAGGAATAATCTGCTCCCCTAAACTCGAAACTAGTCGTTAGGTACCGGAATCAAATTTGAAGAAAGCGTAAACATTGAGACAAACATGCATGACTGTGAGGTGGAGAAATGTTAAGTAATGAAGAAACAGTGTTTACTGTTGTAGGTTGAAACAATTTCCAGAGCTTTTGTCACGATGTCATTCTACCTCAAGATTTCAGGTGAGACGTGTACTTATGTGCTGGGGGGGCACTGTGTAGGTGTTATTGTGCTTATTCGTTGGTTTCACATTACTTTCAACTCGCTGTGCGCATGCGCGGAGCGTGTGAAAACTATCCACTAGCGTGCTTCCGGTTTGGTCGTATGTTTATCGATAGTGTAAATGCACGCTAAATAAAGTCGTTATGAAAATTATTTGCGTTGTAACAACTGTTCATAGCTGAGTACATACTTCCATTTGCCTCTGCTTTTCAATAATTGCTGTCCTATTTTGGTTGCAACTCGATCAGAGATGTGTTTGTTTAGTTGCGAGAAGGGGATCTGCGGGAAGGACGGTGGTGGTGAGATGTCTTTATACAAGAGCTAGTTAACATAAATAAAGCTATTTATTTAACTAATCCCGGTCTCTGTCTCATAAATCAACTGGGATCAGTTGTATTCGACATAAAACTATATATTTGTTTTGATTTTTGTTTTCTTTGGAGTGTTTACGCTATCGATAAACATACGACCAAACCGGAAGCACGCCAGTGGATAGTTTTCACACGCTCTGCGCATGCGCACAGCGAGTTGAAAAGTAATGTGAAACCAACGAATGGCAGATGGAGGACATTTACAGACCGCCGCCATATTGCTGGAATATTGCTGAGTGCAGCGTTAAACCACAAACAAACAGATGGATGAAGGATATGTATTACATCAGTTTAATATAACTGTGTGATAACGGAGCTGTCGTCAATGAAAAACTAATTAAACACATATAAGTGTTTTACTTCATGTTCACATCGGACCAGAGAACAACGTTCTGCACTAAGCCATTCGACAATAGTTGTACATTTCATCAGATTCATGTTTCACTACAGACTGTCATATATATCTTGTTTATTAAAAGATATATTCAAAGTCCCTTTTTAAATACTTTAATATCAATATCAATACGTTTGATGTCAATGTGAACACCTTTGAAGTGACACAAATTTAATGTGGAGTTGGCATTGTTATGAAACTACATGTTTTCTTCACAAATTGAAACGACATTACTAATGGTTCGAAGGAAACGGCAGGAAGAGAGCAATGGTGTACTTGTTCGATTGTTGACATCGGTTTTACGTTATGGAGAGGAACCATAGAGAAACGTGATATATTTTCTATAACGCGTTAGACCCGTGAAGATCCGGGTAGAATAGGTCTTCAGCAACCCATGCTTGCCATAAAAGGCGACTTTGCTTGTCGTAAGAGGCAACTAACGGGATCGGGGGGGTCAGGCTCGCTGACTTGGTTGCCACATGTCATCGGTTCCCAATTGCGCAGATCGATGCTCATGCTGTTGATCACTGGATTGTCTGGTCCAGACTCGATTATTTAAAGACCGCCGCCATTTAGCTGGAATATTGCTGAGTGCGGCGTAAAACTAAACTCACTCACTCACTCACTCTATAACGCGTTAAGGAATGATATAAGATCTGAACGTTTATCAAAGCGTAGAATGTTTTAATGCTCAGTTTCGAGTCTGCTTTTTCCTATTTACCGGGTAGTAGAAAGTTTGATTTGCATAGGAACATCTCTAAGTTAGTTTGGCTTTACTTGTATTAATCTGAAACCATAAAATAGTGCATTGCAGTTGTACTAAGCACGACCAGCCATCCTTGCTGTTACACTCTTAGATCCCTGAGTTAGTGAGGTACCACATATTTCAGGTAAATTACGCTAGATCAGCTTATTGTGAGAGGGAAGCATGAGACCATCCATAAAACGTTCAAAATTGAAATGAATTTTACATTTGAACCCCCGAAAAGAGTGGACTGATGCATCCGTGGGCATATGTGCACTGGGACTGACTGAGTATAGTTTTACGCCGCTTTTAGCAATATTCCAGCAATATCACGGCGGGGAACACCAGAAATGGGCTTCACACATTGTACCCAAGTGGGGAATCGAACCCGGGTCTTCGGCGTGACGAGCGAACGCTTAAACCACTAGGCTACCCCACCGCCCATGTGCACTGGGAACATTGGGAACAAAGTGGGCACGTTTGTGATAAGCGAATGAAATACTTAATTTTTCAAGTTTCAAATGTCATTTTCCAAGGTACATTACAATAAACATCTAGTCAATTAAACTAAAGTACGGTAGAACAGGAGTGAACACAATATTAAAGATTGCAACTGATACATCGCAATTGTACAGTTCTGCATTAATGTAAGGTCAATATCACCATAGCACCTGTTAAAGTTAAAAAACTCCGATATCTATGTCACGTGCTATCAATGTGTTTAGATCGGTTATTAAAACAAACATGGGAAATGTGTATACACGTTGAAACACAAGTCTGCTGAAATATCAGGCAGGTACGGTTTCACAAGAACCTTTTTACTGATCAATGCACATATATAACAATCCTGACATGATTGTATCTGCACTGTCAGGGTCATGGCTGGACAGCACCGTGTAGAGAAAATCGCCCTCGTCAAACGAGAAAGTCCAGGGGTGAGTTGCCTTTACATCAAGGAATTAATACCATTGTCAAGTAACAACTGTTTTGATATCATTATTGACATCAACAATCTGTCTCTCAGGCCAGGGGTATTTTTGTGACAACCAGTTACCTTTATGGCTATCAATGACTTATACACACAACGGTGGTGATGACATCGGTCGCAGTAGTGATAGTGATAGTGATTACCCTGCTGTTGTTTCCGATGCTGTTGCTGCTAATATTGTATCTATTTTCAGAAGGCACTGTTTCCAGAGGGAACGTGCCCCAAAGCAGAACATGAAAATGACCAAGAAGGTGTGGACTTGTTTATATCCCACACACCTGACGAAGCATTTGACAGCAGAGAACATTATCTACGATGTGGAGCGGCATATGGTTGGGCAAGAGCGTCTCTTTGCAAGAAGATAATTCGCAACAAGAGCATGCTTGTGGTTATATTCTCACTGATCGCATTGACTGCCTATGCTGTGTATGTCGGCTTCAGCATTAGATTTTCCTTCGGGGATGAAGGTTCTTTGAGACTGCTGCTTGGGACCGGTTTTGTCGCCCTGATTTATGCCAAGGTCAAGTTGACAACTCGCGTTCATGAACTATTGTCTCCATGGGCCACCAAGATAACGAATTCCCCTTCGATAAGGAGAACAATCAGATGGTGAGGACCCCACAGCAAAATACTGTTAACATGAATCTTTCTTCCACACTTACAACACTATACTAGACTTATTGGTATTGGAGATGTAGCAGCCATATAGCTGGGATATTGCTGAGTGCGGCGGTAAACAACAAACTCAAATACGAGAATAAATATTTTAGACAATATGTTTACTTATTGAGTTGGAATTCCAGCTGGTAAACATTTTCATCATCACAATGAACGATAACTGTCAACATCCGTAACTAAAATTATTTGTAGAGCTACATATATTCCTCGTATGTGTAGGCAAATATTTCAAGAAACAAACATTATTGCAGCTTGCGTTGGATTTGTACTTTTGGGAGGGTTGTCCGCATGGTATATTCCATGTCAGGAATCTATTACAGAAACCTTTGCAACAGCAAGTAGCTGTGTGACGACAAGTTAACATCAAAACAGTCAATAAGGTGCAGCTGAGATAGGGTTCATGCAACTATGTCTGTACCAGACAAACAGCTCAATGATATTCCGATGAACGATCCCTGCTGTCGGGTGAGATGGTCGCCACCTTGTGTTTGCAGGTTGCTGTACATAGGGATGGTCCTCTTCATGGCGATCTACTTGGGACTGAATGTGACCAAAGCGGAGAACTTTCTCTCTCTCGCTGGACTGACCTTCTTCATTCTTCTGGGATTCCTGATATCCGAACATCCAGAAAGGGTAAGTAGTTGAAACAGGATGACGACAAACCCACAGTAGACAGTCTGTATCAACCTTAGAGTTCAATTATGAAATATCCGTGTTAATGTGGCGGAGAACTTTGTCTCTCTGGCTGGGCTCGCCTTTCTGGTTCTCCAGCAAGGATAAGGAGTAGACATAGACTACTGATACCAGACAGTCTTTATCTACCTCAAACCCTAATCAAAGATATATTTCAACGTGACTGTTACTTGAAACTTAAGCAGAGCATCAGGGCAAAATCCTTTCGTACAAACAGACGCAAGCATTGACTAACATCAGTGAGTGAGTGAGTTGAGTTTTACGCCGCACTCAGCAATATTCCAGCTATATGGCAGCGGCCTGTAAATAATCGAGTCTAGACCAAACAATCCAGTGATCAACAACATGAGCATCGATCTGCGCAATTGGGAACCGATGACATGTGTCAACTAAGTCGGAGAGCCAGACCACCCGATCCCGTTTGTCGCCTCTTATTACAAGCATGGCTTACTGAAGATCAATATTCTAACCCGGACCTTTACGGCTATGACTAACATGAAGACATGCCTGTATATGCATGGGACATTGAGTGAGTGAGTGAGTGAGTGAGTGAGTTAATATTTAAATTCACTTTGGCAATATTTCAGCCATATCGTGACTAAAACAACATATAGGATAACAATAATTAAGGATAGAGTATAAAATCCTGTCAACGAGGGACAGTAAAACAACTAGAATATCACAGATACAAATGTAAACTGGTAATTAAATGTAAAACATTTTAAGTATAGAGGACAACACAATATAAAAATAGGCTATAGATCACCAACAACTGAAGGTAGATCACCATACTAGGGACCATGGGGACTTACAGTACCTTTGCCACCTGCATGGACCCTAGTTGGATTTACAACATCCTTTCAGCTGTTGGCGATTGTACGAAATGTTAGCCAAAATTAAAATAACAAGAATACTACGTTTAATATCCTGGTAAGTTTAAATTGACTTTGAAAGTTTTGGGACTTACGTACCCTCTCAGGAGGACAATAATTTTACGATACTTCAACCCCCCTTTAAGGGTACAGCCACTAATAATCTCAGTTACTAATCCAAACTACCAATAATAAAATATATATCTATTTACAAACTATTCATCAAAATTTATCTAATAATTTTCTATTTCTTTTAAAAATTCAATAATTAAATGAAAATTAAGAGTACTAAAAAGATCCTTAACAGTTTTTACATTGAAATACTTATTCCTTGTGATGGAAAAATCAATACAGTCAAGCAAGACATGCTTGACCGTGATTAGTTCATCACAAGGGATGCAAAACGGAGGATATTCGCCTTTCAACAAATATTCATGAGTATACCTTGTATGGCCAATGCGACATCGTCGCATAGTGACCTCATCAAATCTGGACTGACAACCCAAGTAGGTGTAACCAATATAGGGGCATGGGACATTAAGAGACGAGTGGTGATGTAGAACGGTCCTTCCATTATATACTAGCCACATATAAGAAACTGTGCATTGTCACAATGACGTCACGAGCCCACAAGCGGGACATGGGTCAAACGACCATGTCACAAGCTCAATAACGGGTATGTCCACCATCGGCATTGAGAACAGCAGTGCATCGACGACGCATAGAGCCTATCAAACGTGCAAGGAAGGCTTGTGGGATGTCACGCCAGATTCTCTCAAGTTCTGTTGCAAAGTCAAGGACGTTATCTGGCGGATGAGGAAGACGGCGTAGGCGTCGACCCATCTGGTCCCAAACATGCGCTATCGGGGAGAGACCCGGTGAATTTGCAGGCCAAGGCAGTAATTCAACGTTGTGGCGTTGCAAGAAATCCAAAGCAACCCTTGCCGTATGAGGGCGGGCATTGTCCTGGTGGAATGTTAACCCAGGGCCATGACGTTCAGAGGTGAGGTGAAATTGGGTTTAACGTCGTGCTTGAGAATATTTCGCTCATATGACGACGTGCATGCGTGTGTATGTGTATGTGCGGCTGCTTGTACTAGCCCAGACTTAAGGTTTTATTAGTGCTAGCTCACTGAGATACCATGCCGCAGTGAATACCCCACTCAGACACAGTATACTGACTCCGAGCCGACCAGTCCTTGTTGTACCCATTAATACCGAGCGCCAGGCAGGGACCAACAAGTACCATATTTTAACGTCTTTTGGTATGACGCGGTCGGGGATCGAGCGGGCGGACGCTCTAACCACTACACCACGGAGGCGGTCTGACGTTGCAGAAAAGGAATTGCCACAAGTCGAAGAATCTGATCCCTGCAGCCCACACCAGTTAAGTTGCCCTGAACAATCACCAAAGGAGTTCTTTGGTGTGGTGTTATTCCACCCCAAATCATCACGGAACCAACACCAAAGCGATTCCTCTCCAAGACACAGGCCTGTGCATAACGTTCTCCCACGCGTCTATAGGCACGTTGACGTCCATCACTATGGGAAATGTTAAACCTGGACTCATCTGTAGAAACAACATTTCTCCACCAAAACAACAGTCTGCGGACATGATTTCGGCACCACATTCGGCGAGCTTGTCGATGATGTTGTGTCAGGATAGGCCGTATGGCGGGACGTTGTGGTCTGATCCCGTGATGACGTAAACGTTGTCGAACTGTGTTGGGGTGGATACGGCGAAGTCCTGGGATGGTTCGGGCAGTCATCACTGCAGTCTGAAATCTGTGGCGAAGATGGGTCACTCTTATTCATCTGTCCTGTCTTGGCGTTGTTACACGTGGACGTCCAGAACGTGGCCGATCGATGACGTCATTTGTGTTCTGGTAGCGTCTCACCAGTGCAGAAATGGTATTCCAGTGGCAGTGGAAATGTGTAGCCACTTGTCGTTGAGACATTCCCCCACGGACCATCCCAGTGGCCTCATGACGTTGCGCAGACGTGAGCTTTGGCATGCTATGTGTTTCAACAGCCGTTTAATTTTTTGAACGATCGCATGGGCAGGGGTTGAGCTTTCCAAAGTGACAGTATTGTGTGGCATTCATGTGCTCTGTTTCTCTTTCCCGGAATGCACGTGCAACAACGTATTGCACGTCTCAAGGACGAACCCACTGCCGTCACGGAACGTGGCACGTGCATGCATGTTGGATACATGTCACTAATCTCTGAGTTTAAATCCTTATGTGTCTACACAGGTTTGATAAATTTAGATTTTAAATTTTTGTATGCACAGTTTCTTTATGTGCCTAGTATATGTCCACACCCAACAGCATTTCGACTTGAGAAGTCATTGCTTTGGCCCGTACGTCTGGCAGGCTGTGGTAAGATTAGGAGTATATTACACAAATGATACACATGAATGTTTTAATTCAAACTTCATTTAAAGGGACAACAAATTGTTGTTTACACAAAAGCATGTTCACCTTATACCACACTGTACTTCCAGGAGTAGCCTCGTGGTTAAAGGGGAACACCGAAGACCCGGGTTGATTCCCCACATGGGTACAATGTGTGAAGCCCATTTCTGGTGTCCTCCGCTGTCATATTGTGGGGATATTGATGAAAGTGGCATAAAACTAAATTCACTCACTCATACCACTGCATATCAAGAATAACTTTCACCTTTGTTTAAACTGTAAATCAATAAACCGATCATTTACGTCTCATGCTTATGTACATTGATAACAAATAAGCTGTTATGAAGATCAGAGCTGATGAAATCTTTAAGGCAATTTGCTGAATATTTTAAAACACAAAATCAGAGAAATGCTATCTTGATATCAAACTATTTATATTTGATGAACGTAAGTGGGACATATTGAAAATAAGGACGCATTTTGAGTGAGTGAGTTAAGAGTTAAGTCACATCGGCAATATTTCAGCCATGTCGTGACTAAAAACAATTAAATAATTTTAGAATAAATAAAGATAAATTAAAAAAAAATAATCTGTCAGCGAAGGACAGTAAAACCAACTAGAATATGACAGATATGAACATAAAACTAGTATGTAACTCTAAAACAGCTTAATAACAGAAGACAAGACAATATATAAACAGGCTACATATTGCCAACAACTGAAGGTAGATCACCATACTAGGGACCATGGGAACTTACAGTACCTTTGCTACCTGCATGGAGCCTAGTTGGATTTACACCATCCCTTCAGCTGTTAGCAATTTTTGAGGATCTACCTATAAATTAAAATAGCATATATGCTGCAGTTAAAAACAGTAGTATGTTTAAATTTACTAGAATTGTTTGTACCCTCTCAGGAGGACGGGCGCAATTTGAACCAATTCCATTGTCACTATTATGTTCTTACTGTCCTGTCGGATCAAAGCATTGGTCACACCTCGGTTGGTCTCAATGAATAGTCATGAATAGTGTTGTATGGCACATATTTTTTCGATTACAATTTCAGGTGAACTGGCACGCGGTATTTTGGGGTATCGGGACACAGTTCCTGTTTGCCCTGCTGATACTCAGAACCAGTTTCGGGTTTAACGGTTTCCGATGGCTTGGAGAAAGACTGAAAGAATACTTGGAACACACTGACAAAGGATCTGAATTTGTATTCGGAAAAACATATCAAGATCACGCTTTTGCATTTCGGGTAAGTGGATCACATGACAGAAAAGGTCCCCATTATCCCATAAAGATGGACAGATTTCAATATTTAACAGAATAGGAGAGCATGCAAATGGATATCTCTTTGACTCTGCGGAAAACGATGGCCAAAATATTTCCTCATTTTAATTTCTCTCATTGGCTTGTCTGACCAGAGTCATAAGTGCACTAAAACTTGTCAACATCTGCTCGACACCAAATGCTATAACAGTCACTATTATTAGGCTTGAGAAGATCCGGGTTTAGAACCGATCCATTTTGCAAGGGGATCGGGAAGTCTTCCTTGCTGACTAAAGCGTAGACTCATTAATGTGTCACCCATTAATTATCTGGTCCAAAGTGTGGCGTTAAATGATACGCAAATCAACAGATCTGGTAAAAATAATTTTATGATAATTATGTCGGCATGATTATTTAGAACGAGACCTGACAGAACTACAAGGATCTAAACACTTCTTGGATTAGAGCCAAATTCAGGAAGATAAAAGGATGAGATTTGTGAAGGATTTGTTTTTAAGAAAATAACAATGTACCAATTAGTATATGCCTTTTGTTGTTCCTTGATAAAATGACCGCCTCCGTGGTGTAGTGGTTAGAGCGTCCGCCCGGAGAGCGGAAGGTAGCGGGTTCGATCCCCGACCGCGTCATACCGAAAGACGTTAAAATATGGTACTTGTTGGTCCCTGCCTGGCGCTCGGCATTAATGGGTACATCAAGGACTGGTCGGCTCGGAGTCAGTTTATTGTGTCTGAGTGGGGTATTCATGCTTCACTGCGGCATGGTATCTCAGTGAGCTAGCACTATAAAACCAGCTTCAGTCTGGGCTAGTACAAGCAGCCGCACCTACGCATACACACACATGCACGTCGTCATATGAGCGAAATATTCTCAAGCACGAAGTTAAACCCAATTTCACCTCACCTCACCTCACTTGTTAATGTCAAACGACCACAGTTATCAACACTATACAATGGGTCAACTGGTTGCCGTGTTTGCATCTCTGTTTTGCAACAGTTTTCCGTTCTATTTTAAACCCAATTTCACCTCACCTCACCTTGATAAAATATTACCGTGTCTTGTAAATCACCAAGGCAGAATTCCCGATCCTGTCTTGGAGCCTGTTTGGGCCTTTTCTAATGGCCAGCGTGCATTGCGATATTTATAGTAGAAGCTAGGTGCGTGTGTCTGTATTTAGACAGTTTGTCTATGTGTCCCTGTTTGTCTCGGCTTGTATCTCTGTGTTTTTCAGTGTGTCCGTGCGCTTGTGTGCGTTCTGTCTGTTCGCCTGGCTGCGTGTGTCTGCGTTTCAGTGTGTGTCAATGTGCCTGAATGTAAGTATGTTTATGCCTGTGCATTCCTTTTCTTTGTGCATGTGTCTGAATGTGTGTCATTTCTGTGGCTGCGTATTTGTGTTTCCCAGCGTGCGTCTGTGAGTTTGAGTCTCATTGCGTTTGTGACTGTATGTGTACTTTGTACCTGTTGGTATATATGTGTGGCTATATGTGTAAGTTCAGATCTGCTTTAAATATTCTTCTGTTTTATGATCTCAGGTGATGCCATTTATTCTGATGTTCTCCTCGACTATCAACGTCTTGTACCACTACGGGATTCTCCAGGGATTCGTGGCCAATTTTGGATGGTTGCTTTCTGTCTGTCTGGGTACCAGCCCCGTGGAGTCCGTCAACACAGCAATCAATATTGTGTTTGGGCCTGTACGGTGAAATTGTGTATTCCTATTTTATGAACGACAGAACCTCAGTAATACTCAACCATGGTTCCTAGTGCGATGGTCTACCTTCGGTTGTTGGCGATCTATTGCATGTTTTTATATTGTGTTGTCTCTAATAATACAATAGTTTTGGATGTAAATGTTTAACATCGATATCTGTGATATTATAGTTTAGTCGACAGGTTTTTATAATCGAACTTTATATATCATGAATGTGTTACGTATTTCAGTCACGACATGGCTGAAATTCTACCGATGTGACTGTTAGTTTTCAAACTCTCACTGTTGAAACTTCGAAATATCTCAGTTATGATACTGCGGTCACATACATCACATTCAAATAGGGGCGGTGGGGTAGCCTAGTGGTTAAAGCGTTAGCTCGTCACGCCGAAGACCCGGGTTCGATTCCCCACATGGAAGCCCATTTCTGGTGTCCCCCGCCGTGATATTACTGGAATATTGCTAAAAGCGGCGTAAAACCAAATTCACTCACTCACATTCAATAACACCGGTGAACACTTTCTTTTGTCCGGCAGTGTAGCTGGTAGCAGGATGAGGTGATACCGCCGTTATTTTGTTCACTACGGGCCATCTTGGTTGTGGTATTATTTCTGATTATATTTTAATGGTCAAAACACAACTATTGTAATTTCCCCATGTACATATGACTGGTCGTGTCATTGATGGTTGCATCAGTGAATATATTTACGAGTAAAACGTGTTGTTTCGACGGGTAGTATACTAGTGCTAATGTCATTACCAGGCAGAATCACCTCTTGCCATCAAGCCCTTCCTTCCTCATCTCACGCCGTCCGAGTTACATGCTGTCATGGCCGCCGGCTTTGCCAGTATTGCAGGGACGATATTCGGGATGTTGACATCGTTTGGGGTAGGTACTGGGAATTCGAATCATTGCGCACATTTTTGAGTGATGCATTATTATTGATTTTTTCGTTAGTACCCGAAAAAGGGTATGTTTCGGACGTTGCCATACAAGTGCATTTTATAATGCTCTTAACTCCATTCATCGGGTACCCATGTTCTGCTGGGTGAACAGAGGCAATTTTAAACAAACTCATTTGCCTAAGGTGAGACCACATGTATCACATATGCGTCGTTGTGGGGCAGGACTGATGTACTAGAAATTCTCATGAGTCAAGCTGGCAAACACGGTCACCCATCGCAAGACTCTCCGCGCTCAACGTTGCTTAACTTCAACTGATTTGTGACATGAGCTCTATGCACAGCGCCACATACCACCGCAAACAATCTAATTTAATCTATTTTGTATAGTTTTGTCACACCCTGGCCATGACAGTGGTGTTATTGTACATTAATGCCAAGATGTTCATTAACACGGTGTAGACCGCCTCCGTGGTGTAGTGGTTCGATCCCCAACCGCGTCATACCAAAAGACGTTAAAATATGGTACTTGTTGGTCCCTGCCTGGCGCTCGGCATTAATGGGTACAACAAGGACTGGTCGGCTCGGAGTCAGTAGCTAGCACTATAAAACCAGCTTCAGTCTGAGCTAGTACAAGCAGCAGCACCTACACATACACACGCATGCACGTCGTCATATGAGCGAAATATTCTCCAGCGCAACGTTAAAGAATGTACGCTCGTGCCATGTTCTAAGGAGAATGAACTTTTAGGCAGTAGTGTTATCATTTTACAGTGGCATTACAGACTGAATAGTTTAGTTAATGTAGTAATGTTATCATACCCCGCAACGCGTTTTGCAGGGGTATTATTTTGGACTCCGTCCGTCCGTGCGTGCGTCCGTGCATCCATCCGTGCAAATACATCTTTTCCGGAGTTAAACATAAAAACCGTTCAATATTTCACCACAATTTGCCCATACCCAGCTAACACGGAAACGTTGCTTAAACGTTTGAAAACGTTTCCTTTTTGTTTTAATAACGTTAAAAAATAACGTTTGGAAAACAAAATTTTGTGGAGGGATTTTTAGGTTTTATAAACGTTTTGACCATTTGAGCATACGCCATGGACATCTTCTGATATCGTTGCAAGGCTCGCTTACCAATACTATATGTTTTGAATCCCGTCCAATAAATATATACACGTAAGTAAATTTATTAATCACGTCATCCAAGATTGCCAAGAACTGACGGTAGATCACCATACTAGGGACCATGGGGACTTACAGTACATTTGCTCCCTAGCTGGATTTACATCATCCCCTCAGCCGTTAGCAATTGAGACAAATCTAGCCATATATTAAAATCACACACATTCTACGATTGAAAAAGAGGAGAATTTAAATTTAACTTGAATGTTTTGGGACTTACGTACCCTCTTAGGGGGACAATAATTTTACAGTACTTTGACCCCCTTTGAGGGTACAGCCACTAACAATCTGAGTTACTAATTTAAACTTCCAATCATAAAATATTTATCTATTTACAAATCATTCAACAAATCGATTTCTTTTAAAAATGCTATAACTAAATGAGAAGTGATTTGAAATAGTTATGCCTTGTGAATATTCAACACAGTCAAGCAAGACATGCTTGATACACTACTGCTAAATAATGCGTGTGTGTTGTAAAACTTTGTTGAAGAGGAAAGTTCCTACCAATAGGTTTCGAAAACTTACAAAATAAATACAGATCAATCAACCTGGACCATTAATCATATGCAATAGGAATTTATTACCAACCAGATGGAAGCATTTTCTCAAATACGGGCGTCATTTACAGAAGAAAGTTGTTACTTGCAATGTTTTTACGGGACTGAATATGATGTATGACCCAAGTTATAAATGATGAGTTGCGTTTTAATGGCAGGATAAACTTTTATTAATAGTATGATGACACATCTTAATTTCTTGTGTAAAAGTCACATACTATATTTATTTATGAGGGGGCTGAGATTTGTTGTGAGGAATCATGGTCTGGTTGCCGGGGAAGTGACGTATTGATTATTTTATAAATAACGAACTGGAGTCACCGACTCAAATGTAATATTATCTCCTGATTTCCTGTACATTGATGATAAGCAAGATTGTCTACGTGACCAAATCTGTGTCGGCAGATTGTATACGGGGCAAAGTGAGTGAGTGAGTTAATATTTATCGTCACATCGGCAATATTTCAGCCATATTGTGACGAGAACAATTTATAATTATATCAAAGATAAATAAAGTTAATTAAAAGCCTGTTGACGAAGAACAGTAAAACTACCAGTGTATCACAGATATTCATTTAACACCAGAAACTAAATCTAAAATATGTCAACTATAAATGACAATACAATATAAAAACAGGCTATAGATTCCCAACAACTGAAGGTAGATCACAATACTGGGACCATGGGGGTTTACTGTACATTTGCTTCCTGCATGGGCCCTACCTGGATTTACACCATCCCTTCAGCCGTTAGCAATTTCGACACATCTAGCCATACATTTTAAAAGACACAATTCCATGATTAAAAATAGTGGAGAGTTTGAATTTACTTTAAATGTTTGTGGACTTACGGGATACGGGGCAAAAGAAAAAATGGGAAAATACCTATTTGAAAACATGTCTACATTTAAAAAATGGTAATATTATAACTAAATTATAGTCGATGTTTGTTTGCGATTTAATTCATATCACCTTGCACTCTACATTGCATTATTTGCATATACAGAGATTGAAAAGAGATATACTGAAAGGCAAAAGAAAGTGCTGTGTTCAGAAAGCAAGTGAAAGATTGGCATACAAGCCGGCAATTTATGCCTGAATGCATGCATCATGCACGTGCATCTCGATTTCAATGTTGTGTTTGTGTGAACTCTTCCCTTTTCACAAACAAAAACATTTCTACCCTCAATCTCAAACAATACTTTATTGGGCAAAACAGGCTATACGACCACGATTCATGTTTTCCTCAAACTTGACTGTATATTTAAAAAAATAGGTTCAAATACTCCATTGATACCTAAATATCATTTCCAATATTAAGACGTTTCTTTTGCCTTCCAGTATAGTTTGGATATGAATGTGCATTTATTAATTTATCACTCTGCAAACCTAAAAAAAGGTTTTCTCAGTTTTCTTGTACAATTGATTTTTATGCCCCCGCCATATATGGCTTGGGGGCATATAGGGTTACCCTCCGTGTCCGTCCGTACGAAACAGGGAATGTACTCTGTCCACCTCTCCACAAAAGACGCTCTGTGGAATTCAATGAACTTATACATGGGCTTTCTTGGGACTCTAATGGTGTGCATCTCATATTTTGTTTTTGTATTTCATTGGGTTTTTTTGGTAAGTTTAGAGACATTTGAACTTAGGTACATTTTGCCGAATTTCCCTATGATGATAGTGTAATAGGGGATGAAGTCTATCCACTTCTCCACAAAAACTGCTCAACAGAATTGAATGAACTTCTACATGTCTTTCGTAGGGACTCTAAAGGTGTGCATTTCATAATCTTTAATGCAATGTCTTAATTTTGTCACTTTTACAGATGTTTGAACTTAGTTGAATTTTGTTCTACTCAGCCTGTTCGTTCCATCCAACAGGGGGTGTACGTTATCCACTTCTCCTCAAAAACTGCTGTATGGAATTCATTTAGATTACACATGTGCTTTATAGGGACTCTAAAGGCATGCATCTCATATTTTATTTATTTTTCCAATTTTAATGCCGTTTGAACTTACATGAATTTTGTTGAATTTCTCTCTGAATATAATGTTATAGGGGATGAAGTCTATACACTTCTCCACAAAAGCTGCTCAACAGAATTGATTGAGCTTCTACGTGTGTTTCATTGGAACTCTAAAGGTGTGCATCTCATACCTTGTTCGTCCAATTTCTTAATTTTGTCACTTCTACAGATGTTTGAACTTAGCTGAATTTGGTTCTATTCATCCTGTTCGTCACATACAACAGGGGGTGTACTTTATCCACTTCTCCTAAAAAACCACTGCTCAAAACTCATTTAGCTTACACATGTCTTTTAAAGAGATTCTAAAGGTGTGCATCTCATATTTTGTTTTTGTATTTTATATTTTTTTTGGTATGTTTAGAGACATTTGAACTTGTTGAATTTCTCTGTGATGATAGTGAAATAGGGGATTAGGTCTATCCACTTCTCCACAAAAAACTGCTCAACAGAATTGATTAAGCTTATACGTGTGTTTCATTGGGACTCGAAAGGTGTGCATCTCATAGTTGCATAGATGTTTATTGAACTTTTTCGTGAATTTTGTTCCATTATTGATCTTTGTGTTATCTAACCCCTCAACACATTGTTTTTTGTGTTTTCAAGTACTTCAGTGGGACCCTGAATGTGTGAACTCTTCCTACAGGAGCGGGGGCATCCGTGTCCAGGGATGGAAATAACTTTAAAATTGCTAGTGTACTCCGGTACAGTGGCACATGTAAAATCACTTGCCCTGATAATTTTTCCACTATACCGGCCGTTTTCTTGTTTATTTTTTACATAAACAACATAATTAACATTGGAATATCAACTTGACACCTGTACAGTGTGATATACAAATTTGCTTGCCCGACAGAAAAAAACATTGGACTCGGGCGTCGGGCAATGGGTTATTTCCACCCCTGGTGTCCCTGGACACAATGTTTTCTTGTTGATCTTGTGAACATTGATCCTCATGTAGTAAACATACACTCATTCTAACATTACGAGTACATTTATACTTGTAATCGTCACAAAACTGCAGCTAAAGAATGAACGTTCACAAGGCAAGATATAGAATTTGACTGAAGTTCTAAAGAGATGATTAGATGATTCACGTATTTACAACAATAATGGCAATATACTTCCTTTTAGAAAACTGTCGTCTTGTCCCAAGAGTAAAATGTATATGAATAGTTTACGTATGTATGCTTTCGTTAGACGTGAAGAATGTGGAGAACTATTTATCATTTCTCATAACAATTCCTGAGGAGTATTTTACCATTCCGGAAGATATTGATGCCTGTTTTCTTGTTATTACTAGGCACCAGCCAATCATCTGCTAGCAGCCAGCGTCATGTCCGCCCCTGCAGCCCTGGCCATGTCCAAGCTGATTGCGCCGGAATCACAGCCGACCAGAATCCAGCCACATGACGCCTACAACATCCCTGTCCCGTCAGTCACAAACAACGTCCTTAATATATACTGCCCATCCAAAGTTTCGGCTCACTAGTGTAAATGTAGCCACTTACTTCAGTCAACTGTTTAAAACTAGATTTTACAAAATATTCCATACTGTTTAAGGGTACTGTTTACACATGAACTGATGTATTGTAAAACAAATCCATAACGTTGAAATAATTATTGTCACGAGTTTAATAAATGATGAAAATCAGTGAGAGTTGGCGAATTCTTAACAAAACTTTACACCACAACGCAGCTGTTCACATGCAAGATATCTGCACATTCTTTTCAGTACTTTGATGCATGATCCTCATGCAATTCATCTGCATAAGGTTTGGTGTTGGTTCCCCCAAGTAAGTAGAGAAATTCATCTTCACTGTAACCACTTATATATCCACAACATATTGTGATTGCTTAAGTGAGTCTAAACTTTGATGGGTAGTATATGTATACAAAACTGGTATTCATTGATAATGGTGATGTCAATACGTAATTTATTGAAAAAATGTGAGATAAGAGGCAATAGCTAGTCCCACTTTCTTACTCAAAAATAGGTTGCTGGAAATGTCCATATCATTCTACACTGCTTTGATCGTCACCAGAGATGCCTAAAACGTTATAACTTAGGTCTAAAGACAGCAAATCTCTGCCCCTCACTTCGTCTACAGGTACAATGTGTAGCAGGTGAAACATTATTGCACAACCGATAACACTGCCTCATACTATCATGCTACACAGGAAGTTCAACAACCTTCTGGAAGCCGTGTCAGAGGGGGCTAAAGACGCAGTACCGATCGTCACCAGTGTGATTGTCACCCAGATGATATTTATCGCCTTCATCGATTTCGTTGACTCCACGCTACTTTGGTTCGGGGACAGAGTGGGCGTGGCTGGAATGTCGTTTGGGGTAATTTATAATAAATATTCTTGTCATTGATATCCATTGTTGTGAATGGTTCGTGTATAGAGAATACTACACGAGGTCTCATTACATACGAATTATACGAAACGAGTGTCCTTCCTATGGTATCTGACCGAGCGAAAGCGAGGTCAGATAACATAGGAAGGTCACGAGTTTCGTATAATTCGTATGTAATGAGACCTCGTGTGGTATTTTATGTATTACCCACGTCTTACATGCATTAAATTTACAAAATAGCGTATTGTGTTATGTTTTTGGTTTCAAACCGAAACTGGTTTCAAAATGAGGTTGCGGAAGAGTTTTGTACTGTAGGGCAATATTTGCATGACGTCACACTATAATGACGTCACTGCCTTGGTAACCGACGTCACGATGCATGTCAGTTGTCATCGCCACGTACAGCCTCCTACAGTAAACTACTCCGTAGCACCTCGTTTCTTGGTTTGCAGTTGCTTCATTCGGCTAACATCACTGGTGGAAACATTGCGTTTACGTTTTTCGACGGATATAGTGTCTCAGTTCGACTCGCAATTAAACAGCGACACGGCAACGTTCGCAATGTTTACATTCCCACAATGCATATAAGTTGTAAAATGAATGAATTCACGTGTTTGTTATGAATGAAAAAATAGTTATGTCAGAATGTGACCTAATTGAGAGGTCATCCGTTATCCAATCAAATCGTTAGAATCTCAGGTCAAATCGTTACGACACAGGTCAACGCGATACGACACGTGTGACGTACGAGATTAGTATGCAACTACCAATACGTTGACCACGTGGGTAATAAATTCATAGAAAACAGGGTTCTTCATAAAAAGCCACAAAACAATATAGCCTGTGCAAATGGTTATATTTATAGAATTACTTATATTGGACTGCTATGCCGATGCAACATGTACATGAGTATGGATGATGTTAAAACTGTCCTCAGTTGGTCTCCCTGCGGTGAATAGGGTCGGAACAGCTTCCTGGAAATGGATGTAATTGTACGACACAACTCAGTCGGTCAGGTTCCATTGATAGCGTGTCATCAAACACCGGTCGCGTTGAACGCTGCTTGTCGTATCAATCACTGGATTGCTAGGTCTCTGTTATTTAGAGACAATATTTAATATTCACAACACAGCTGGAATGTTTTCGATTGCATATTCACAGGGGAATATGTAGACTTTGTATATGCATCGGTAGCTTTGACACCTGTTTAGAGTGAGTGAGGGAGTTATAATTTTACATCACATCGGCAATATATCAGCCATATCGTGACGGCAAAAAGTTATGTACTAAGAATAAATATATTTATACATTTTTTTAAAATATGTCACCGAAGGACAACATAACGACTATATTATCACAAATTGATTAAAATTAGTTTGAGAGTAAAATGCTAAATCATTTCAAAACAACACACTATAAAATCGGGCCATAGATCGCCAGCAACTGAAGGTAGATCACCATGCTAGGAACTATGGGGAGGACACCTGGGCCTAGATTTTCGAAGCTCTTCTAGCGCTAAGATAGTCGTAAGTTAATGTTAATGTATGGCACTTACGACTAGCTTAGTGTTAAGAGAGCTTCGAAAATCTAGGCCCTGTTTAGAAGTAACCATTTCGTTCTCTATCACGTGGTGGCGCGGGTATTGTCACGTGTATGTAAAATGGTCTTTTGTTTTGTTTCAGTTCCTGTGCTCCTATGGTTTCTATCCCATCGTGTACATCATGGGCTTTTCGAGCTCTGATTTCTTGAAGATTGGAGAATTGTTTGGCATTAAGACATTTGCAAACTCTCTTTATGGTTATCAACTGCTTGGGAAGCTGATTAAGAATCGTGAGGCGTTTGAACAGTACGTTGCCACAACTAACGGGACATGGCACTGGGAGAACCGAGACATCGTACTGGACCTCACCAACAGGACGCTTCCTGGGGGCATACTGACGGTGAGTAAATGAGTGAGTGAGTAAGTGAGTTAGTGAGTGAGGGAGCGAGCTGGTGAGTGGGTGGGTGGGTGAGTGATTGTAACCAGCATAATTCATTCGAATGTGCTGCGCTGCCATGTACCCTCATGGTTGTGATATCTGTTTAAATCTTTCATTTCTTTATAGTTAATCGACCGCCTCCGTGGTGTAGTTGTTAAAGCGTCCGCCCGGAGAGCGGAAGGTCGCTGGTTCGATCCCCGACCGCGTCATACCAAAACACGTTAAAATATGGTTCTTGCTGGTCCCTGCCTGGCGCTCGGAATTAATAGGTACAACAAGGACTGGTCGGCTCGGAGTCAGTATAATGTGTCTGAGTGGGGTATTCATGCTTCACTGCGGCGTGGTATCTCAGTGGACTAGCACTATAAAACCAGCTTTAGTCTGGGCTAGTACAAGCAGCCGCACATACATATACACACGCATGCACGTCGTCATATGAGCGACATATTCTCAAGCACGACGTTAAACCCAATTTCACCTCACCTCACCTTATAGTTAATCCTTCTGTAACAACCTGTAAATACTGGTGCTGCTTTCAGCAGTTATATAATTGAGGATTCGAACCCTGCTGTCGCCCTCATCCTTGGTGTGTTAGTAATACACTCGGTCTCATGTGTTTCACCAAAGTGGTCCAAATTTCAAATCACACATCACGTTGGCCTCCACAGCTACATACACCGAAAACATATCACAGCATCCCATACTTTTTTCAGAGCATCAAACTGTTACAATTAACCACAGCAAGGCTCATATCCAAAACTCACATTAACTATCTCGATAAACTGGCACTCGCACAACTGAAGGGCAAATCCAAACGCAAATAGAACGGAAAACTGTTGCAAAACACAGAAGCAAACACGGCAACCAGTTGATCCATGGTATAGTGTTGATAACTGTGGTCGTTTGACGTTAACAAGTGAGGTGAGGTGAGGTGAAATTGGGTTTAACGTCGTGCTTGAGAATATTTAGCTCATATGACGACGTGTATGCGTGTGTATGTGCATGTGCAGCTGCTTGTACTAGCCCAGACTGAAGCTGGTTTTATAGTGCTAGCCCACTGAGATACTATGCCGCAGTGAAGCATGAATACCCCACTCAGACACATTATACTGACTCCGAGCCGACCAGTCCTTGTTGTACCCATTAATGCCGAACGCCAGGCAGGGACCAACAAGTACCATATTTTAAGGTCTTTTGGCATGACGCGGTCGGGGATCGAACCCGCGACCTTCCGCTGTCCGGGCGGACGCTCTAATCACTACACCACGGAGGCGGTCACGTTAACAAGAACTGTCATAACAAGATTCGTGTGTCCTCAAGAAACCATGTAATTAACAATGTCAGTATCTGGTTTAACTTCCGCCAACTGCAATAACATCCACGACCCTCCGCCTCACTGACTGTATCTAACGTTGAATTTGACGTTGAGGTATTGCATTCCATTAATGATGCTATGCTTGCTCCAGCGCACCCTTAGTGTTTACTGGGGGATCATCTCTGGTATATTATACTGCGACGTATAATGTCCCAAACATGGTCAAATGGTAGAGGCATGAAACAAATTGGTTCACTCACCCACCCAAATAGATCAGTGATACTTTAGCAATCATATGATCGTAGATTCGAATCCTGCATTCGCCTTGAGTTTGATCCTTGGTTTGCCATTTCTATACACGTGATCGTGGGTTTAATCAAAGCGGTAAACCTCTAACATCTTGCTACTCTCTACTATAGCACACCGTGATATAACTCATATATTGATCGCTGAGGCGTTAAACAAACAGGCTCATTCACCGACCCAAAGGGACAAGGATGAAACATATAGTCTTGTTGATCATTGTCGACACTCTCGTTCCCAGAAACAAACCTCTAATATCTTGCTACTGTCTCCTCTCTACTAGAATTGATCTTCAGTTACCCAAGCTTGTCGTAAGAGGCTACTAACGGGATCGGGTGGTCAGGCTCGCTGACTTGGATGACACATGTCATCGGTTCCCAATTGCGCAGATCGATGCTCATGTTGTTGATCACTGGATTGTCTGGTCCAGACTCGATTATTTAGAGACTGCCGCCATATAGCTGGAATAATGCTGAGTGCGGCGTAAACTAAACTCACCCACTCAATCTCTACTATAGCACACCGTGATATAACTCATATATTGATTGCTGAGGCGTTAAACAAACAGGCTCATTCACCGACCCAAAGGGACAAGGATGAAACATATAGTCTTGTTGATCATTGTCGACACTCTCGTTCCCAGAAACGATCTGAAGTGATGGGAACGTACGCATTCTGTGGACAGAACCATCTGGCGGCGATTGGGTTGACCTTGGGAGTGTTCTGTACCTTGATCCCTGAGAGAAAAGGAACCATCACCAAATACATAGCACGAGCTAACGTATCCGGGCAGCTGGCGTGCTACATGACAGCGTGTATTGCAGGTACGTTTACATGACCATGACTTGACAGCAAGACAGTAGTCATGGTATAATAGTATCCAAGATTCGCCATCCTGTCAATAATATGCTTCAGTTAGACAAGACTCCACTAACGCTAAGGTATTCGTTAGCCCCAAAATGAAAACATACAATGGGCAGACCAGTCGAAGAGCTAACATCTACGGAAGGCTAATGCTGCCATATTTGTGGAAATAATATTTTTCCAGCAACCATTCACGTTGCTTCAAGTATTTTCTCGTTGTTTCAATAATTTTCTCGTTGCTTCGAGTATTTACTCGTTATTTCATTAATTTTCTCTTTGTTTCAATAATGTTTCGCTATTTCAATAAGTTTCTCTTTGCTTCGAGTATTTTCTCTTTGCTTCGAGTGTTTTCTCTTTGCATCAAGTATTGTCTCGTTACTCTATTTTTTCGTTGCTTCGATTAATTTCTCGTTGCTTCGAATATTTTCTTGTTGCTTCAAGTTCTTTTAATAACTTGAAATTTCCAATATTAGTTCTGTGAAAGGCGACGTTTCTTATGTCGTTGACAGATTAGACATTTTAATTTTCTCGTAGATTCGCGTATTTTCTCGTTACTTCGACCTGTTTCTTTGACCTGGTCTTGTTTCACAAAGCCATCATTGCGCAACGACTACGTAAGTCCTTTACTCTATATCAGACTCATAGCCGTAGCGCTACTACCGCTTAGAGACCAGAGTCTCTCCCCATTTTCCCAATTGACCTCAAGACCACAACGAGTGAATCCCATTTCTGGAGTCCTCTGTCTCGAAAAGAGCAACCCAACCGCAAACTCTGCGAGTCCGGCCATATTTGACCACATTGACCTTCCATTACCAACATTCCAAAATACCTCGTATCCCCTCAAGAGCACAACGAGTGAATCCCATTTCTGGAGTCCTCTGTCTCGAAAGTGTTGGAGTATTTCCAAATCGCACAACCCCACCGCAAACTCTCCGTGTCCGGCCATATTTGACCACATTGCACCATTACAGCTTCCATTACCAACATTCCAACCGACCCCACAATCACCATCATATAATTCACTTTTACAACTCTGTTTGCAGGAATGCTGTATGATGAATCGCTTGTCTGAACACCCCTTGGCGTATTACACGACCCAAAGGTCGAGGATAATGGATGTGGATTCTATTACATGAAATGTTAATACATGCAATGTTTTCCGCCTCAAATACTTTTCTACGTTCTTGTCAAACTGGATTTGTTTCAGAATGATATCAGAGAGACGCAGAAATGGGCACTTATTATACATTCAAACTTCAAGTATGGAAGGAGTATGGAGGAAAGTATGTCCTTGCGTTTAACGAACAGACATGTTTTTAGGACAACAGGAGAATAGTTATAAATGATCCAGGGTACCCTCCTTGCACTCGTGACCAGTGACAAATTGGCAATTCGTTGTGAGCACCTGCGGCGTGTAGTTGAGGGATTATCGTTTAGTATCGCAGATTTAAATGCAAGATGGCGCCAGGTGTATGACCAGTAATCATCATATCTGTGATAACTGGATTCATCAAGGAATCTGGATTCACTGAATGTAACTTGACTACGGTGGATCTTATTCTTAACATGATTCTAAATCTATAACAATGAATGACACAGCTCTGGACAACTCTGGCTAGGCGACTGTGGTATTGCCTGGACAACTTTTGAGTTTGCGATGGAGGATATCCAGCCACACTGGGAGTCCGGATCACCCAAGTCCAGAAACGAACACCTTCCCATCTTGTTCAAGACGTATATTCCATGTACATAATGGCATTACTGTCTACCAGAGATTCGTGAATGCGAACATCCCAGCGACATTTATAGATTGCGTCTGGACTATCGGGATCTTACTGATCATATATGTTGATGGCAAAGATTGTAAATGAGCAATGCTTAAGTTACACGACGCTGGCCTCCATTTAATCGGGGGCGGCGGGGTAGCCTAGTGGTTTAAGCGTTAGCTCGTCACGCCGAAGACCCGGGTTCGATTCCCCACATGGGCACAGTGTCTGAAACCCATTTCTGGTGTCCCCCGCCGTGATATTGATGGAATATTGCTAAAAGCGGCGTAAAACTAAAATCAGTCAGTCAGTCAGTCCATTTAATCGAGCCTGGTACACAGCAGCCAATACTGGGCTCAAGGCGCGATGACGTCATAGATGAATACTCATGGTATCTATCACTGAAGTTTCGTGTCCACACTGGATGAAGTGTAGGCCGAAGCAATAAACTGGAACAATCGGAATATAGCTGATTTTATCCTCTCCTGGTATGCTGTATGTGTATGCTGTAGGGTGTGGGGTTGGGGGGGATCTGATTCCACGTATCAAGTGCAATAAACATATTCAATCTTTCTTTGTTTGTTTGTTGTTTGATATTCTTGCGATATGGTATCGGTCTGTGAACAGCTGAGTCTGTACCAGACAATCCAGTGATGAACAACATGAGCGTGGATCTACGCAATTGTCATACGGTTCAGCGAGCCTGACCACCCCATCCCCACCCCACCCCATAAGTCGCCTCTTATGACTATAATCGGTTTTTGAAGACCAATTCTAACCCGGATCTGCACGAGATTTTCAGTCTTGAGATACAGTAATAAGGCGTCGCTGTGGATTGTTGATAACATTGGTGTATTGGTCTATGAGTGAGTGATTGAGTTTAGTTTTACGCCGCTTTTAGCAATATTCCAGCTATATCACGGCGGGGGACACAAGAAATGGGCTTCACATATTGTACCCATGTGGGGAATCGAACCCGGGTCGTCGGCGTGACGAGCGAACGCTTTGACCACCACGCTACCCCACCGCCCCGTATTGGGTTATGTATGACTGCTTGTCCAAGTGCCGAAATCCGCAGGTTTTCTACTAGGACGACACTGGAGATGTCATACCCCGAACCCCGAACTGAACAGTCTCTGTTTTATCCCCTTACTGCACCAGGCTGGGTAACAATAAGTACCATCTTTTACTGTCAAGCTGTGATAAAAATCACTGAAAAATTGTTCAGTACAAAATGAATCAAAACAGAGAGAGAGAGAGAGAGAGAGAGAGAGAGAGAGACGGACACACCCCTTGAACGCATGTTTATAGGTTTGTAATGACCTTCAAAGTCGCACAATAACAAAATCTATAATATTTTAGAATATTTTATTGAATTTACACAGACATATACACCATAATACAGCAAACTAGCACATCATAAGCTGCACTATAGCATTCATGTATTCACAATATTGAGTGAGTTAGTTGAGTTTCACGCCGCTTTTAGCAATCTTCCAGTAATATCATGGCGGGGGACAACAGAAATCGGCTTCACATTGTACCCATGTGGGAACCGAATCCGGGTCTTCTGCATGACGAGTATACGCTTTAACCACTAGGCTACCCCACCGCCACACTCTTTCACAAAATAACGACTAAGAAAAATATAACACGAGATCATCAATGTCTGTAGCTACACGCATTACAGGAAGCATGTCACATTGTGCTATTGGTAACGGCTATATCACACTGTGTGAAATATACCCACAAGCTACACTTATGTTACTGGACAACCTGTGAAACAAGAAAGTTATACACGTCAAGTTTTCCATTACGTTTTGCTATCATGGCTGCTGTGTCTCCATCATTGTCCCTGGCGTTAATGTCGGCCAGGTTCTGTGAGAGGATGTACTTCACCATCTCCACACGTCCGCCTAAAGAGGCCAGATGGAGGATGCTTTGACCCTCAGCATCCACTAAGTTAGTTAAACCACCTTTACTCGCAAGCAGATCAAGTACCTTTCTTTGTCCATAATATACCGCCCTCGTCAAGGCTGTCCTCCCGTATTTTCCTCTGCTGTTGATATCCACCAGGTCCAGTGATAGGATGTACTGAACTATCTTTGTATGCTCCCCAATTGAGGCATAATGAAGGATGTTGTCTCCGTCATCATCCACCTGTGACACATCAGCTTTCATGCCCACGAGGTACTTAAATATCTCCATGTGTCCCTTATGAGCAGCCTTCATCAGTGGGGTAGCTCCGTATTTTCCCCGACTGTTGATATTCACCAAGTCTTGTGATAGGATATACTGAACCATCTTTGTATGCCCCCCAGTTGAGGCCAGATGAAGTATGTTGTCTCCGTTATCAGCAGCGTGTGACACATTAGCCCCCAAGCTCACGAGGAAATCAAAAACGTATATGTGTCCTTCCGATACAGCCTTCATCAGGGGGGTCTCTCCGTGATTATCCCTGCTGTTAATATAATCACTGTAATATTTGAGTACATTCTTCACCATACCAAAATGTCCCCCTCTGCATGCCACGTGCAGAATATTCTCTCCGACGTCATCCATGTCTGACAAATTAGCCCCGCAAAATACGAGGATGTGGAACACGTCTATCTGTCCACAATATACAGTCTGTAGCAATGGAGTTGACCCGTACATTCCCTTACTGTTAATATCAATCATGTGGTGTCTGACTAAATCCTTCACAATACTAATATGTCCCCCTCTGCAGGCCAAGTGCAGGACATTGTCTCCGTATTGATCTATGTGTGATACGTTAGCTCCTTTCTTAACAAGAAAGACAAATACTTGTCTATGTCCCTCTTGAGCCGCCAACATGAGTGGTGTCTTTCTGTGCTTCTCACCTCTGCTGTTGACGTCAACCAAACCTTGGGACAGGATGCGTTTCACTCGGCCCAGGTAACCGTTCCTACAGGCGTCGTGGAGCGGGCTGTCTTCTTGAGTTTCCATCTTGTCTTCTATTTCTTGTGGACATCTTTCATGGGTGTTCCGCTTCTTATCTGTTAAGTGTATAGTTTAATAACAAAACGACAATTTGTTGGCATTTAGAATGAATACTGTGAAATCACCTAAACTTAATGTGCCAGAAAAAGTAAGTTGTATAGTGTCGCCTCTGCCAGTTAAATGAGACACAGAACTGTCAGTGTACATTGAGGCTTTTCTTGAGTTTCTGACTGTTGCATATCTTCATAAGTCTTTCAGATACTCCGAACTTTGGTCTCAATTATATCTTCTGTAAGTCATCAAGTCAGTAACGTCCATTAGCAACTGCAAGTTGCAAAGTCTGCTTTTACTTGTAAATATTATTTTCCCCGTACAGTGTTTCAGAAAGTATGTTACTATTATAGTTTATTGAAAACTAAACACTCTATGTTTACTTGAACAACAGTATGTCTGAGACCATACAACAAGTATGGATTATGATCGTAACGAATAGATTATAGTTTGTAACCTTTCAGTGAGATAATATTACGTCGCCTTAATTGCGAATTTATCGTGACTGTGAAAGCTCTACATTGATTAAAAAACAACATGGACTATATATATCTGCCGACAAAGGACAGCAAAACAATTTGAGTGCTACAGATTTTTCCTTAAAACTATCATGTTATAAAAAAGAGATGATACACAATACAGAACGAACAACATATTAACGGGCTTTAGATCGCAAGCAAATGAAAGAATATCACACACGAAGAACAGCGTTATATGGTTTGCTCCTTAATTCGGTGAATGTACAAGAAAAATAACGTAGCACAATATGTAGTCTTATAGAAGTTTTACTTAATGACTATGTTGAGATATGATTCTCCTACAGTCTAAGCGTCTTTTTCAGTACTTTGTAAGACAACCTTGCTATACAATACACGACTGAATGCGCCTTGGTACACTACCGATCAAAGTTCGTAGGACATCATGTGACAGCGTATCCCAATAATCGAGCACTTCCTTTCTTCATATCCTCAATATTTATAAGGTTTTGTTTTGTTTATTCTGTTCTTCATTAGTCCCCACACATTCTCTATGGGGTTAGCTGGGTCAGTCTAAACCTTTTCGTCCGACAACCACTGTTTTGTGAAGCCCGCAGTGTGTTTTAGGTCCCTATCATGCTGGAAAATTCCATTATCTCTATATAGTCTTCTGGCCATTTGAAGGAGGTGATCATTTAAGATGTCAGCATATCGTTCCTTCGTCAAATTTCCAGTGAAAATACACAACGGCGTCACTCCACGCGATGATATCCCAGCCTACATGTGAAATTTCAGGCTATGTTTTGGGCGTTGCTTGTTATTTATGCCTCTGTTTAGAATAGAAGTTCAGTACTACGGATCGCCGGTCAGATTGTGAGTAGAAGAAAACTGAAAAGCGTTGAGAATATCAGAAATGAGATATTTAATAGAGGAAGTTCTAAGATATGTAATGAAACCCTTATACAAGTATTACAAAGACTTAACTGGGTGAAAAAGCGCGGAATTCCCTCAACATTGATGAAAGGTGCACAAAAAAAGGCGTGTACTCTGGTGGAGGGCTCACAAAAATCAAGATTGGGATAATATTTTCTTTTCTGATGAAAGTTGCTGTCTGGCCTTTTTCCGATTTGTGTGGAAATGTGGACAAAAGATACCGTGAAACCTAGCTACCAACTGTAACAGAACAGTATACACGCCCCTTTCCGACCAAAAAGAGGCGTGTATACTGTTCTGTATACTGTAGACAGAGGAGTGAGTGAGTGAGTTATTATTTAACGTCACATCGGCAATATTTCAGCCATATTGTGACGAGAACAATCCAGTTGATATGAATGTAGACAGAGGAACGTCTACCAGCTAACTCTATTTTTTATTAGTAATACACCTTTCAAAATCATATAGAACCAGATTTCATGATCTTTTGCTAACAAGTCTGCCATGTCAACAAAGGAAGCCGACTGCTACTTCAGGGGAGATGACTCTTGATGTAGCAAGGTTAGATTTTAAGTCTACAATAGTTGCCTCCCGTGGTGAAACACCTGTTTTAAAATTCTATTGTCAGTATTAGGAAAGATGTTCTCAATAATTTCTTGGAAAACTGTAAATAAGAAACGTGTTCTCAAAAGAGAAAAAATACTTGTCATGAATGACCTTAAATTCATACTTCAATAACTTACTTTTAAATGTCTGTAATTATTGCAGCCTAAGAATATGAAGGGATTTGAATTTCAGTTTTGTTGTTGTCCTATTAATCGCTGTGCCAGCTTTTCTTTATAGCTTATAGCTCGAATCTAAATGGGATCGTATTGCGTCATACCAAAACACGTTAAAATATGGTACTTCTTGTTCCCTGTCTGGCGCTCGGCATTAATGGGTAAAACAAGGACTGGTCGGCTCGGAGTTAGTATAAGGTGTTTGAGTGGGGTATTCATGCTTAACTGTGGCATGGTATCTCAGTGAGCTAGCACTATGAACCAGCTTAAGTCTTGGCTAGTACAAGCAGCCACACACACACATGCACGTCGTCATATGAGCGAAATAATCTCATTTTAAGCCCCATTTTACCTCACCTCCTCTTGTTGTGGAACGGATGGATATTCGCAGTCAGATTAGGAACATGAGAAGTTTACTAAAGAAGTGAGAACCCTCCTCGTGCCTTGGCAAGACTAGTTTTCCAAGTACAGTCGAGCACCGTTGTCTCGATATTCATGGGACCAAGAAAACATATCGAGTTATCCGAACTTCGAGACATCCGACCAGGGCATATCATCGCATATCACTATGAAAGAAAATAAAACGCTTCTCAGTATGTTTTGATTCGAAACTGTTATCCGTTATCAGTAGGGTTTAGTCGTAACAGTAAGTACTTCCTAATTAATTCCTTCTTAATTAATCCTAATTAAATAACTAACAAGTGACACCTTCAACTCAATTAGCCCTAATTAGTTTACACTAATGCATCCCTTTGATTCATGCCGCACCGTGTGTAAACGGTGTGAACAACTTCAGTTCAGAGGGATATTTGTCCATGAAAGGTAGATGAATATCTTTTCTTTGTTTCTTTGCAAAAATCGAGTTAAAGGGTAATTTTGCTTGTTGGGGCCATGAAATTAATATCGAGATATCCGAAATATCGATACATCCGTATCGAGGTAAAAGAGCTTGAATAATGATAAATTATGAAGGATTTTGCAGGGACCGAAATGTTATATCGAGACAACCGAGATATCGAGTTATCAGAGTTTGACAACGGTGCTCGACTGTATTACAGATTTAGAAAGATAGTCTACCATGATAAAGCCAACAATTCCAGTATTCCAGAACACGTCGGACAGGACCTTTCCAACAAATGCGACAGGGTGTTCTTTGCCCTTTTGGATGGTGATCTCATCTGATTCCACTGTTTTAGTTTAGTTAACACTTTGTCTTGAGGTGATGAACACAAGCTTTCACTCAGCGTAACAAATCTTTGCAAAAACGTTTACAAGAGGTCTAGTACGGTGTTCCTCAAATTTCAGAAGCTCTTTGATACTTCTCTTGGTCATTCGCCTTTCGGCTGTCAACATTGTCTGGATTTCTGGGTGTTCTTCAGGTGATGTGCCTCCCAGGTCTCTCGTCAAGGGCCCCCGTGAACATCCGGGTTGGAACTGGTCTTCAGAAACCCATGCTCGTCGTAAAAAGAGGCTAACAGGATCGGGTGGTCAGGCTCGCTGACTTGGTTGATCCCAATTGCGTAGATCGATGTCATCGTATGGACCAGACCCAATAGCTGAATATAACCGTAGATCGGTGCTCATGCTGGTGATCAGCCCAGACTGAAGCTGGTTTTATAGTGTAACCCACTGAGACCAGACTCGACACATTATATGACTCCGAGCCGACCATTTACAATAATAGCTGGAATATAACCCCGAGTCCGGGCGGACGTACGGGGCGGCGTGCGTGTAACAGCTAACCTTGAAGACACTCGTCAAGGCTGTTCAAGCTTTGCATCTGAAATCTGATTATTTTCTATGATGTTACAGGAATGGTGCTATCCCAAATACATGTACTTTTTCAGATATATTTAATTTCCTTTCACATAAATTTCTACAACTCTCCCAGTTATTTTCTTCTTACACAAACTAAAATATAAAATGCCTATTATTTGCACTGACGTTTAGCTTATGCTGCTAACCACGTCTACAGATTCCTGCTTGTTGGAATAACTATGTTGAACTGACTCGTGCTTTCATAGATGTAGCTCGATGACATCATGCAATGCCCAGAAAGGAAGATACCTGCTTCTTATTCGCGTTTGCTTCTATGTTGAACGAAGAATTTAGCAATCAACATTCGTCTGTTCAGCAAACATCACATCAAAGCCATGATGAAAAAAGACCCACCGTACATTCTCTTGATGTTTAGCACGCCAGTCCAAGGCTCAGACAAACGTGACTTCACAACTGAGCGTTTAATTGTGTTGCAATCAGAAGTAAGGTTGCAGGTGAGGTAATGGATATCTTGATAGATGATGATTCCTATTTGACCATTGATATGTCTACCCACGAACTTGACCCCATCGTGATTTGTTCCGAAGAGTTGTGACCTTTAGCATTCAGAACCTACGTCTGTCGCGAACTACCCTGAACCGGCCCCAAGCCGATCCGGCCGATCCGGCCCCTGTGATTGGTTCACTCAATGTCAAGAAATCTTCATGTCTGTCTGATTAATTTCTGTCGATTACCGTTAATTAACCCAGGGGCCGGTGCGGGGCCCTAAATTCCAGCATTGCGGGGCCGGTTTGGGTTAAATATCCAGGGGCCGTTCGGCTTGGGGCCGGTTCGGGTGTGTGGCTTTGAATACTGTCCAGCTGAATCTGAGACATACACCCCTTCGCGCTTTGCTCCTGTATTAAGTTGACATGTCATTGCACTTCTGGAGTACTTTTTCGGAGTGTCCTAACGGTTCAATAACGGTTACCCCTACCAACCAGTGTGC